AAAATTTTACGATTTATTGATAAAAAATATCAAAACTAAGATTAATAAATTAAATAAGTAATAGTAGTATATATATAGAGAAGATAATGTAAATAAAATTAAAGAAAACTAGAGGAAAAAATAGGATTGGAAATTGGATTGAATTAAATCATAACATTTATAGGTATATTGCTTAAATATTAATTGGAGATTATCTGAAAAGTTTATGTTAAGAATCTCAGGTTAAGTAATTTATTCAATAAGAAAATAAATCTAAAATTATTGAATTATAATAAAGGATGGATGATTTAAAAACTAAAATGGATTAATAAAAATGTGAAAACTATTTCAAGTATTTTTTTTATTCTAACTATCAGCATTTGTTAAGTAGTATACATTGGTTCATATTAAAATTTTATAAAGTAAATAAATATCAAATTGCTTCTTTTATGAAAGGTCTTGAGATAAAAAATTCTCAGGCGTTTTATTAGATTAACATAAATTAAGTACTTCAATAATTTATGAGAAAAGTAAAGATAAATTAATCAAAGTTTAGAAGAAAGCATAATAATTAGGTGTTGAAAAAAATAATAATATAATATTTCACGTTGTTGATGCTAAAAAATTTGATAATCCTTCTTGATAAAATTATATATTATCATTTTAGAATTTTCTCATAAAGGATATAAAATTTTTCAAATCTGACATTTCAAACTGTTGTTTTATGCAATTATCTCTAATTGTAAATCAGTGGTTTCTATTTTGGAATTTTATGAATCCAAACTCTAGATGATTATGATTAATCAAAACATTTAAAAATCAAGTGTTAATAATGCTTGAGTGAAACTATTCAATATATTAATACTTAATTAATAAAAGCTAGAATATTCTAATTAAATGATACATTCTTTAAATGTTTATAATCATATATCACAAATATAAATTTCTCTAACCATCATAATTATCTCCAACTAAATTTGCTTGTGATATTTTGCAATAAAATAATTTATGCTTACTTCCAATAATTCTATATTTTTTCTTTTCTGAATCCAAAACTTTAGTCTTCTAAAGTATTATCCGCCTAATCTTCTAAAAAATTGTCTTTCCTGATTACTGTCTATCTATCAAATTGGTTTAAATTAGATTTTTATATCTCAAACCATTATAGATGATATGTCTAGTCTAAATTAATAGATCCTAATGAATATCTATATTTGAATAAAAATAAATAAATAGACATGTTTACATACATGAGTTTGGCGTATTCCCTAATCTGATACCACTAAGGATTAAAGTTCCCGATGATTTTAAAATTATAGGCTCACATCACCTTATGAGATATAAGAATAATATNTAGTATATATATAGAGAAGATAATGTAAATAAAATTAAAGAAAACTAGAGGAAAAAATAGGATTGGAAATTGGATTGAATTAAATCATAACATTTATAGGTATATTGCTTAAATATTAATTGGAGATTATCTGAAAAGTTTATGTTAAGAATCTCAGGTTAAGTAATTTATTCAATAAGAAAATAAATCTAAAATTATTGAATTATAATAAAGGATGGATGATTTAAAAACTAAAATGGATTAATAAAAATGTGAAAACTATTTCAAGTATTTTTTTTATTCTAACTATCAGCATTTGTTAAGTAGTATACATTGGTTCATATTAAAATTTTATAAAGTAAATAAATATCAAATTGCTTCTTTTATGAAAGGTCTTGAGATAAAAAATTCTCAGGCGTTTTATTAGATTAACATAAATTAAGTACTTCAATAATTTATGAGAAAAGTAAAGATAAATTAATCAAAGTTTAGAAGAAAGCATAATAATTAGGTGTTGAAAAAAATAATAATATAATATTTCACGTTGTTGATGCTAAAAAATTTGATAATCCTTCTTGATAAAATTATATATTATCATTTTAGAATTTTCTCATAAAGGATATAAAATTTTTCAAATCTGACATTTCAAACTGTTGTTTTATGCAATTATCTCTAATTGTAAATCAGTGGTTTCTATTTTGGAATTTTATGAATCCAAACTCTAGATGATTATGATTAATCAAAACATTTAAAAATCAAGTGTTAATAATGCTTGAGTGAAACTATTCAATATATTAATACTTAATTAATAAAAGCTAGAATATTCTAATTAAATGATACATTCTTTAAATGTTTATAATCATATATCACAAATATAAATTTCTCTAACCATCATAATTATCTCCAACTAAATTTGCTTGTGATATTTTGCAATAAAATAATTTATGCTTACTTCCAATAATTCTATATTTTTTCTTTTCTGAATCCAAAACTTTAGTCTTCTAAAGTATTATCCGCCTAATCTTCTAAAAAATTGTCTTTCCTGATTACTGTCTATCTATCAAATTGGTTTAAATTAGATTTTTATATCTCAAACCATTATAGATGATATGTCTAGTCTAAATTAATAGATCCTAATGAATATCTATATTTGAATAAAAATAAATAAATAGACATGTTTACATACATGAGTTTGGCGTATTCCCTAATCTGATACCACTAAGGATTAAAGTTCCCGATGATTTTAAAATTATAGGCTCACATCACCTTATGAGATATAAGAATAATATTCTTCTGCTTAGCCTATACAGCAATTAACTAATCTATTTAACGGAAGCTGACTAAGCAGGATTTTAATACAAAATCCTTGCTCGGGGAGGCTGGATAGATGAGTTTATGAAAAATAAAAGCTTAAGAAGAAAAAGCTTTCGAAAAAAAAAACTATTTGGATTTCAAATATCGAATAGAAAATGTCTAGCCAAGAAATTAAATATCAAAGAAAAAATAATGTTAAATTATATCACAATCATTTTATACTCATTAGAAAAGGGAAGAAGCATAAGGAGTAGCCTCTCCGTAGCTTATCCTATCACCTTATCTAAGAAAAAGGTAATTAATGAATAATGAATAAGAACGAAAGTAAATTTTGTTACAAGCATAGGATGAGATTTTAAGTTCAAATGAATAGTCACTAAATGAGAGACTCTATATTTTAAATACGGAATTACTTTTTTTTTAAACAAATAAAGTTTTATTGATACCTCTAATAAAGACAGTAAAAATGAATGCAAGAACCTAGTAAGCTAATATAGATAGAGTTTAATATAGAACCATATAAAATTAAAATGAATCATTCTAATGATTAATGAAGGAAATCTATGAGAGATTAAAGAAGTGAATAATAAATTGAGAAGTTATACTTTTTATACTTGTAGGTAAAACCAATAGAATTAGAACTTAAACATAAATAAGTCTAAGAGAGTTTGAGAGAAGCTTTTTCATAAAAGCTAATAATTTATTATCTTCTCCCTAATCATCCCAATGATGGATTTAAGTCCCAAATACCTTAATGAAAGAAGAATGTTAAATGCGTTAATGATTAACTGGTGTAATTATTAGCCCTTTGACCAAGACTTGTTAAGTGTTTTCAGGAGTTATCTACTATTCTATATTAATATCTTGGATGAGTAATCTAATCCAACTAAAAAAGTTCAAATAGTATTAAGACACAAGAATTCCATCATAAATAATATATCTATTATTTTAATTATAAATAAAATTGTAAAATACTTACATTGCTCAGGATTAATTGGAAAATACTTTGCGGAATAATTAATTAGTTATAAGTTGATGAAGGCTAGTTAATCAAAAAAATTTTGAATTTTAATAAAATAAATAAAAGCTTAAAAATAAATTATCTTTGTTTCAGCCATCAGAAGAAAGGAGTTCTCTATTCTAGACTCTTGATTTAATGATCCCTTGATCCACTCAAAAATTCTATTATAAGCAATTTGCCTTTGAGGTTCGACATGAGCAACAGAGGAAGATCAACTTGAAATCTTTATTTGGCTTTAATCTCCGTTGTTGAGTGAGACATTATTTCTTTCTCTACATAGTTCAAATAAGAGGGAAAGTATGTAAGGAAAAGAAGACAGTCAACTAGGGGTAGAGGAGAAAGATAGGCATTATTGATTATTGAAATGTTTTTTGGTGTCTATTTAATAAGAGATGGAGCTCAGCCATGGAACTGGAATATTTCCTTCAGGTTAGCCGGGTGAGGATTAAAAATGAAATTTTGAGATTTTGAAGATTATGTAAAAATTACCAAAAAAAATCATTAATTAAAATTGTATAATTTAGAATTTTTTCTCTTTTTCCTACTTTTCAGAAAAAATAATATCATCATGACATCCAGAAAAAGCCTGCTATAGCCAATAAATGTTTTTTCTTTTTTTGATACAATGTCTGACAGTGATATATTTGATGTAAATAGCATGATAGGGACGTAGTTCTCCCTCTCTTCAAAAACTAGCAAATCTCCAATTTTAGTGATTATTACCTTTATATATTTAATTTAATTAAAAATTCTTAATACTATGTTTATTGTTATCACATGCCACAAATTCATTTTTTTTAATCAATTCAATTTCTTTCTAATTTATTCTTTTTTCAAGTTACACATTAAAAAATACTCTTTGGGAACAAAATCTGAATAAAATATTCTAAAAACTATTGAATTTATCATCATAAATAAGCAAATTAATTTATAGTGTTCAATATATATGTTTTTACTTAAATTGAAATCAAAAATAAATTTAGATTTGTAATGGAAATCCAAATAACTAAATTTTTAATTAGTTTTCGCCATTTTACATGAAAAATTAATGAATTGTATTATCATTAAGAATTAAAGAAGGCTAGGTAGTGAAAAAGTAAAATTAGCCACTCCTCTTAAATAAAGCTTATCCATAATATTTATGATTAATAGTTTTAAGCATTCAGTTTCTAGTTCTTTGGAAAAAGTTCATAAGAATTGTTTCTTCTAATATTTATAATGATATAACTAAATATTTTTGAGATTGCCAAATGGATAATTTCAGAAAAATTAAAAGAAATGTAATGAGTGATTGAGGTGTATAAATATTAAATATAATGTAAATATATTTTCAATCAGTATATTAATAAATACTCATTTTTTTTTTAAAGCGTTTAAACATTCATCTAAATATTTTATTTAGATAATACCTTTTCTGTCTTTAGTCCATTAATTATTTGGAATGATCTTTAAAGCTTTTTCATAAAATATTAATGCTTCTTAATATTAATTCTAATCTTGTAAACAAGCACCTATAAATTAATAAGAAACTTTTACCTTTTGTCCATAATGAATCTAAGTGATTTGGATTGATTTAAAGAGATTACTCAACCACTTGCATAGATTATTTAAACATTTTCAATAATCTTAATGAGTTACCTTCAAATATAAAAAATTAGTACTTTTAGTACATAATGAAAGACAATCTTTTGGATCTATTTACAATGCTTTATCTGCCCAAATGATAGCTTCACTGTATTAATCAATCATCCTTAAACTCTACGCTAACACATTAAATAATCATCATACCTTTACATTATAATGAATAACAATGTTTTGGATCAACTTACAATGCTTTATCAGCCAAAATGATTGCTTCATTGTATTAACCAAGCATCTTTAAACACTCAGCTAACACATTAAATAATAACCATACCTTTACACCATAACGAAAGAGAATGTTTTGGATTAAAAATTAATGATTAATCTAATATTTTAATTGCTTCTTTATAATTATCATCATCCTAATATAGTTTATAACCTAATTTAATAGATTTATTACCTATTTTAAATAATTCTTCTGATTTATTAATATCTAAATTAGATATTTGATAATAATTTAATTCAGATAATTTTAGATCAAATAATAATTTTTCAATTGAATTTTGGAAATCTTAAATAGATTATTTGATCAATATTAAGTTTGTTTATTCAAACGATTTGAATCCAATACTTTCAGCAAAGAAAGAATCCATTTATTTAGAATCTAAGTTAAAAACTTATTGTTCAGATTTCTGGTATTTTGATCTAATTCCTCCAATCAGTAAATAGAATTATTAATAAGCGATATCCATTTATTTATTTAAATTTGAAATTAAGTCTTCACATTGTTTATCAATATTTTAAATATGGTCAAACATAAATGATAAATCTTATTAATGTTAAAGATGAGTAACATGATTTCCATTTTATATACATTAAATGCATTATAATCTATTTGCTTTACAAGATTCATTAAAACATACTAATTTTACATCATTGACATGGTCTGAATTTGGACATTTGATAATAGCATCATTTATTTTATTCATAATTAATATTAATATTAAATCTTTTTCTAATTCTATTAAAAATATTAGATAAACTCATTATTATTAAATGATATATTTCTATTACTACCTAATAATTTTAATTAAAATATATATCTAATTTATATTATAAAAATTTGGAATCCTAGATTGTAATAACAATAGGTCTATTTGGAAATTACCTCTTGATTATTGAATCTATTTTTTTTAGTTTCCATTCTAATAACATTAATTTTAAGGATTGGCAAAATAAATGTGATTCGCTTAAAATTTTATATAATATTCCATGATGGCTGATAATCAATTTAAGACTTTATTTGCAATGCATTGTAAAATATGATTTTTAAGGGCATATTTAAAACTTATCAATACTATATAAGGTCTTAAGTTAATTTTGAATAAATTTCAAAAAAATATAAAAATTGACTTGTACAAATATTGCTTTTGAATAATTAAATTCAGTTTTGTCATCTATAACTAAAAGACTACTAATCTCCTTTCAAACTGAAGGTTAAGTGCATTTTTAGAATTTTTAAGTTCGTTAATCTTTGACATCAATAAATCTATAGAGTTATTTAAAAAGATGAGGTATTTAAGACGGTTTAAGCAATTATCATCAAGTATATTTATGGTTTCTAAAAATGTTAAATTTTACCTAATATTATCTATGAACTAGGATTTATTTTAAATAATCCAAATCAAATTATTAAGTTTTAGAAGCAACAAATATTTAACAGGTGGAATTATTAGTAAACTTATCTTCTTTGAGAAATACCAATAACAGAATTAATTATCTGTGGATGATAGATCATAAGAGATATAATATTTAAAAGGAACAATTCCATCAAGGTTGATTAATTATTTATTAAATTTTTCGACAAAAATTAAAAAAATTTACCAAAGAGAGGCTAAAACATAATTTAATAAACAATTAATATCAAATTATTACTTCATTTACTATTTGCTAGTTATAAAATTATCCAATTAAGTACTCACATATTAATATCAAATTTACACATAAATTAAAACCATTAAATAAGTTTATCTATCTTTTTCTTTTGAATATCAAATAGGGTTTTAAAGATTTTTAACATTTTAATAATTCAAATACTTTAATTTAAGAAAATAGGGTTTGAATAATCTAAATTTTTGAAAAAAACCTTCTCCTAAATTTTCATTTGTATCAGAATATTAGACTAATTGTTTTTTGCTTTCAATATCATCCGTTTCTTGATTGATGAAAAAGTTATTTGTATTCAATACCATATTTATCCAAAAAAATTGTATTACAAAATCATATCAAAATGAGTTTTAATCACTAATCCTGAAATTTACTTAGTCAGTCGATAGATCATCTAAATAATTGATAAATTAATTTGTATTTAACAACCTAAAACTTATGATATTAAATACGTATGGAGAAATTATATTTATCAGTTAGTGATTACTAGTTGTAGTATGTGAATTGAAATATTACTTTAAATATAAAATACTACTTCAATTAGATTAAGATAATCATAAAAATAACAAAATAGAAGTATTTTTTAGAATTATAATTTGATTAATAAATTATGATATTAAATTTTCAAGGATTCAATTAATTTTTACATAATTCTAATTTAGCCTCTATAAATTACTTAATAAATCTAAAATTTAAGATTAATTAGGCTTAATTTAATCTGCCTTAACTAGAAATGAATTTGCTTTTTCATAATGACCAAGGGCATATGCACATTAAGCTAAAATAATAAAAAATTGTACCTTTACCATATAAAGATAATATATGTTCTGGGTCTATGATTAATGCTTTATCAAAAAACTCAAATGCCTATTCAAATTAATTCATTATTTGTAAACAGTCACCTTTAAAATTAATTATATTTACCTCTTCCCCATAAAGATTAGACATCTTGAGGGTTAATGTTCAGTGCTTCATCATACTGTTTTAGAGCTTAGTTAAAGTACTTCATCATTTTTAAGCATTCACCTTTCATTTATCTAATTTAATTTACCTTTTCCCCATAAAGAGAGCCCATGTGATGGATTGATACTCAATGCTCTATCATACCATTCGATAGCTTATTCAAATCGATACATCATTTTTAGGCAATCACCTTTTTAATTGAAAATAGAAACTACCTCTCCCCCATATTGTTAATAAATGCTTCTAGTTGATGATTAAGCTTTTATCATAAAATTTAAGAGCTAATTCATACTGATTCATCATTTTTAAACATTCACCTTTGATTAATTCTTATAAATTTACTTTTCCCATATAAAGAATCAGTATGTTATGGATTGATGACCAATAATTTGTCATACCATTCAAGCGCCTCTTCGAATCGATTCATCATCTTTAAACAATCACCTATGATTTATTAAGTTATGCTTACCTATTCCCAATAGAGATAAATTATGTATTGGGTTAATTTTAAGTGCTTTATGAAACCATGGAAGTGCTTATTCATATTCATTCTTTATTTTTAGACAATCGCCTATGATTTTTTGAATAATATTTACCAGTTCCCCATAAAGACAAAACATCTTACTGATCGATGGTTAATGCTTTATCATACCATTTAAGTGCCTCTTCAGTTTGATTCATCATCTTTAAACATTCACCTTATTTAATAGAATTTATTTACTCTTGCCCCATAAAGACAATAAATGTTTTGGATTAATATTTAATGCTTTTTCATAATACTCAAGTCCTTATTTCAATTTATTGCTCATTTTTAGACAATCACCTAATGGAATATGAATTATATATACCTGTTCCCCATAATGATGGTATATGTTATGGATTGATGCTCAATACTTTTTAATACAACTCAAGTGACTATTCGTATTTATTCATCATTTTTAAGCATTCACCTTTAATTAATAAAACAGAATTTACTTTTCCCACACAATGCATCAACATATTATGGATTAATTGTTAATGCTTTTTCATAGCATTCAATTGCCTAGTCAAATTAACTCATTTCTGCTAAGCATCCTCCTTTTTTTATTAGAATAAATATACCTTTACCGTATAAAGATAAGATATGTTAAGGATTAATCAATAATACTTAATCATACTATTTGATTGCCTACATATATTGTTTCATCATTTTTAAGCAATCACCTTGAATTAATAGAATTAAATTTACTTTTAGCCCACAAAGATAATAAATGTTAAGGTCTGATGTTCAAAGCTTTCTCAAAATATTAAATTGCTTCATAATAATTATTCATCATATATAATTATAATCCTTAGATTTATTATTATTATTATACCTTGTCCATAAAATCCTAAGCAAGTTTATTTAAGATTTAATGAATAATTCAAATTAATTACTGCATCATTGGTCTTTCCTTAATACAATAGACAAATTCCTTATAATTATTTAGTATAATAATACCTTTTCCTGCAAATGCCTCAGCATGGTCAGCATCTATATTTAAAACTTTATTATAATCATCAATTGCTTCTTCATATCTTTCGAGTTAAGTTAGGCAATCTCCTAAATAAAAATGAGCTTATATTTTACCTTAAGAAAAGAAATACTCTTTTTTGGATGAGTCTATCTCAATAGCTTTAGAATAATATTACAAGGCCTCTTTATATTAAAAAGTATCTCTTAAGCATTCACCTTTAGAAATAAAAACAAATAAAACCTATCTAGTACTAAATAGCTGAATTATTTTAATTTATAAAAATGATTTTTCCATAATTCTATAAAGCTTGAGAATAAAATTTTTATTCTCTTAAGATGTCACCTAAATTATCAAAAATCAAATACCTATTTTCCATAATGATGACTCATGTTTTGGATTAATTTTTAGTATATCTTTGTATATTTGTAATGCATTTTCAAACTTATTCAACATAAATAGTCAACTATTCTAAAATATTTGTATTAATTATTTTTCTAAATTTGTCAAATAAAATAGAGGATTCTAGCATTTATTACCATTAGTTAGGTTTAAGATCATCAAGTTTATCTTCAAATGCACAGAACTTGTATAATAAACCAGATATAAATTTATCAATAGATTAAAATATTGATTAGAATTTACATTTATATCCTGATATAATGCCCTTTGTATGTGTTGATTTTTCAATTAAAAATGATTTCAATTCAAGAATGCTATGAACATCTTCATCGAAATGTTAAATATTTTTCTTCTATTTTTAACATTTTACACAAAAAGTTCTATTCTCTAAGCACTCATTTGATTTACACCAGAAAAGAATATTTTCTTGAGAGTGATCCTGACATTTAAGATCAAGCATTTATTGTTTAATGTTTATATTAATTATTGAAGATTTTAATATGACAAATTAATAATAGAAAAGGCTCATAAATATTATCACATTAGCAGAAGAATAATGAAAAATAATTATTAGTATTTTTGAAAATGATCATTTAAGAAAGAGTATTTTTTAAAAATAATTATAATAATAATCACTTGATTAAATATCCATCTGGTTAATATAGTAATTAAAAAAAAAAATTAAATATATAATATTTTTCAAGCACATCCTCATTCATTTATGAAATTATATAACAATAGTAAATTAATTTTGAATATTTTTTGTCAATTCAATATTTTTAAACTATTATTTAGTGGAAAATATTATAAGATGGAATTACTTTGCATTATTATCCATTCATTGAGATTATTAATTTATTAATAAAGATGGAAATTATGGAATTTAAAATCTCAAAAATCCATAAGTAGAATTCCTCATGTAGAAAATTTAAACTTAAAAATGAAATTTTAGATTTTATTGAGAAATAAACTTCATTCCGAATAATTGATTTTTAAATATTTTTATCAAAATAACTCATTAAAATCATTAATAATTATAATAATTAAAAGTAAATATAAAATTTCATTTATAATAATTTTTAATTTATTATATAAATTAAATTTGATAAGATGAGAACAAATATAAATTAATATTACTTTTAATAAATTAATTATTATATCATATATAAAATAAATTTTAGATGATACATCTTAGTCAATATAATAAATATTCATTATAAATTTAATGAAAAAGTTACTTTTTTCAATTAATATAATCCTTTTTTTATAATTAATTCTAAAATAAAGAAATTAAATGTTTAATGTTTTTAGATACAAACATAATATTTTTTGCATACAAGAGCAGAGTTTTTTAAATAAATAGAAAATTAAGAGTAGGCGCTTCTAGAGAAGACCCTTATAATATTTTTGTATATTATTAAAGATTTGTATTTCAGAATCAAGTTAAATAGCACTTCTATATTCTAAAATCATAATAATTAATTAGGTTCTTATAAACTTTAATAGGGTATTTATATTAGATCCTAATTATGTTATTGTTTATAACTATAGAGATAATCAATATATTATTTTGAAGAGGAAATCATATTGAAAATAATTACCATTAGGCACATTTAATTTATGATAAAGCCATTGAATTTGAATCTAATGATTCTAAAACATATATAAATGTTTAAATCATTATAATGAATAGTAGGGCTTTTATAATAAAATATCAGAAACACAGACAGGAAACTTATAAATTACAACAATCAACTCAAATGTAAACCTTATCATCCTTATAAATATAATAGCAAAGGAAACAGAGAGAATAGGATGTAAAATTGAGGCTCTTAAAAATTATTGCAAAGCTAATGAATTAGATTTTTTAATTAAGAATTAAAGAGATTATTTTCTTTTTAGGTTCTTATAGCAGTTTTGCATTAAGGCTTAGGAAATTAGGATAAAGGCATCATAAAAAAGCCATTTAATCAGATACTAAAAATAATAAGAAGGTAGTTAAAGTGTTAAATTAAATAGAATTGTTTTATTAAAATTTTAATTATAATTTATAGAAGGAATTCTTTTATAAAAAATAATTAATATGACTAAGCCATTTAAGATTATCGTCAAACTCATAAATTATAAACAAACAGTTCCTTTAAAAATTCAACTTGAATGAAAGAACTTAACATTCTNCATCCTCATTCATTTATGAAATTATATAACAATAGTAAATTAATTTTGAATATTTTTTGTCAATTCAATATTTTTAAACTATTATTTAGTGGAAAATATTATAAGATGGAATTACTTTGCATTATTATCCATTCATTGAGATTATTAATTTATTAATAAAGATGGAAATTATGGAATTTAAAATCTCAAAAATCCATAAGTAGAATTCCTCATGTAGAAAATTTAAACTTAAAAATGAAATTTTAGATTTTATTGAGAAATAAACTTCATTCCGAATAATTGATTTTTAAATATTTTTATCAAAATAACTCATTAAAATCATTAATAATTATAATAATTAAAAGTAAATATAAAATTTCATTTATAATAATTTTTAATTTATTATATAAATTAAATTTGATAAGATGAGAACAAATATAAATTAATATTACTTTTAATAAATTAATTATTATATCATATATAAAATAAATTTTAGATGATACATCTTAGTCAATATAATAAATATTCATTATAAATTTAATGAAAAAGTTACTTTTTTCAATTAATATAATCCTTTTTTTATAATTAATTCTAAAATAAAGAAATTAAATGTTTAATGTTTTTAGATACAAACATAATATTTTTTGCATACAAGAGCAGAGTTTTTTAAATAAATAGAAAATTAAGAGTAGGCGCTTCTAGAGAAGACCCTTATAATATTTTTGTATATTATTAAAGATTTGTATTTCAGAATCAAGTTAAATAGCACTTCTATATTCTAAAATCATAATAATTAATTAGGTTCTTATAAACTTTAATAGGGTATTTATATTAGATCCTAATTATGTTATTGTTTATAACTATAGAGATAATCAATATATTATTTTGAAGAGGAAATCATATTGAAAATAATTACCATTAGGCACATTTAATTTATGATAAAGCCATTGAATTTGAATCTAATGATTCTAAAACATATATAAATGTTTAAATCATTATAATGAATAGTAGGGCTTTTATAATAAAATATCAGAAACACAGACAGGAAACTTATAAATTACAACAATCAACTCAAATGTAAACCTTATCATCCTTATAAATATAATAGCAAAGGAAACAGAGAGAATAGGATGTAAAATTGAGGCTCTTAAAAATTATTGCAAAGCTAATGAATTAGATTTTTTAATTAAGAATTAAAGAGATTATTTTCTTTTTAGGTTCTTATAGCAGTTTTGCATTAAGGCTTAGGAAATTAGGATAAAGGCATCATAAAAAAGCCATTTAATCAGATACTAAAAATAATAAGAAGGTAGTTAAAGTGTTAAATTAAATAGAATTGTTTTATTAAAATTTTAATTATAATTTATAGAAGGAATTCTTTTATAAAAAATAATTAATATGACTAAGCCATTTAAGATTATCGTCAAACTCATAAATTATAAACAAACAGTTCCTTTAAAAATTCAACTTGAATGAAAGAACTTAACATTCTAATTGATAAAATAACAGATTTAATAAGCCTAAAGAAATTTAGATTCTTTATTATTGAATTCATAAAAAATGATTTGATATTCTTTAAATTTAATCCTTAATTTATTCCTCTATCAAATTTTATTATTTTAATTATAACAAAATCAATTCTATGTTTTTTTTGATTATTTAATTTTACTCTTTTCAGACTCAAATAAATAATTATCGGATGAATAATAGAGTATATAGAATTAAAATTTTATTATTTATTAATTATAATCTATTTGATTTTCATCTATAATGAAACACATTTTCATACTGGAATATGAATAAAATCAAAAATACTAATTGTAAAGGATGGTGGATCAACCATGATATATTACTTCTCTCAAATTTAGTTCCCTACTACTTGTCTTTATAATTAATTATAGAATTTTCCAATTAATTTATTGCCTTAATCTATTTGATTTATGCATAGTATTTTCAATTCTTAATTACCTAAGAAATATGTAATGAATATAATTACAATTAAAATTTATTATTTTTTCATCATTTTTAGTTTTGGAAATNAAGAGTAGGCGCTTCTAGAGAAGACCCTTATAATATTTTTGTATATTATTAAAGATTTGTATTTCAGAATCAAGTTAAATAGCACTTCTATATTCTAAAATCATAATAATTAATTAGGTTCTTATAAACTTTAATAGGGTATTTATATTAGATCCTAATTATGTTATTGTTTATAACTATAGAGATAATCAATATATTATTTTGAAGAGGAAATCATATTGAAAATAATTACCATTAGGCACATTTAATTTATGATAAAGCCATTGAATTTGAATCTAATGATTCTAAAACATATATAAATGTTTAAATCATTATAATGAATAGTAGGGCTTTTATAATAAAATATCAGAAACACAGACAGGAAACTTATAAATTACAACAATCAACTCAAATGTAAACCTTATCATCCTTATAAATATAATAGCAAAGGAAACAGAGAGAATAGGATGTAAAATTGAGGCTCTTAAAAATTATTGCAAAGCTAATGAATTAGATTTTTTAATTAAGAATTAAAGAGATTATTTTCTTTTTAGGTTCTTATAGCAGTTTTGCATTAAGGCTTAGGAAATTAGGATAAAGGCATCATAAAAAAGCCATTTAATCAGATACTAAAAATAATAAGAAGGTAGTTAAAGTGTTAAATTAAATAGAATTGTTTTATTAAAATTTTAATTATAATTTATAGAAGGAATTCTTTTATAAAAAATAATTAATATGACTAAGCCATTTAAGATTATCGTCAAACTCATAAATTATAAACAAACAGTTCCTTTAAAAATTCAACTTGAATGAAAGAACTTAACATTCTAATTGATAAAATAACAGATTTAATAAGCCTAAAGAAATTTAGATTCTTTATTATTATAATACAAAAATAAATTCATTTTTTTTGGATTACAAATATTAAATTTTTTTTAATAGATGTATAAAACAAAATTCTAATATTTTTGATTCTATCATTTTTATGATATTGAATTCATAAAAAATGATTTGATATTCTTTAAATTTAATCCTTAATTTATTCCTCTATCAAATTTTATTATTTTAATTATAACAAAATCAATTCTATGTTTTTTTTGATTATTTAATTTTACTCTTTTCAGACTCAAATAAATAATTATCGGATGAATAATAGAGTATATAGAATTAAAATTTTATTATTTATTAATTATAATCTATTTGATTTTCATCTATAATGAAACACATTTTCATACTGGAATATGAATAAAATCAAAAATACTAATTGTAAAGGATGGTGGATCAACCATGATATATTACTTCTCTCAAATTTAGTTCCCTACTACTTGTCTTTATAATTAATTATAGAATTTTCCAATTAATTTATTGCCTTAATCTATTTGATTTATGCATAGTATTTTCAATTCTTAATTACCTAAGAAATATGTAATGAATATAATTACAATTAAAATTTATTATTTTTTCATCATTTTTAGTTTTGGAAATAATTGATTTACCTATTGATTTAATAATCCAATTATAATTTTCTATTATTGCTTTCTTTCTATTTTTGAATCAAATAATATCCACAAAAATATCTAATTAATCATATACATTACATAAATCTATATTATGATTTAAAAGATGAAGGTTATTAATTCCTTGAAACAACTATTACTATTCCAATTAGAGTAGAATTATACTGAATTGAATAGTTATTGATTAAATACATTAATTAAATGAGTGAATAAATTTTAGAGTAAGTATTAGAACAAAGATTAGGATTTGGAAAGCATTATTGGAGATAATTCTTTATCATAAGTTTCATTGACTTCCTTGATGGTGCTGAGTTTCTATATTTAGCTTTATTAACTCCGGCATTAAAATAGGAATGGAATTTGTCAATATTAGAACTTTCAATTTTTGGATCATCATTTACTTTTGGGTTAACAATAGGTTCAATAATTTGTGGATTCTTAGCAGATAAAATGGGAAGGAAGAGTATTTTAATAATAGCAACAGTTTTTCAAGTATTTTATTTTTATTATAAAGGCTGCAGTCGTTTTTCTTACAGTATTTTGTTAAAACATAATTTAAATGAGCCTGCTTAGACTTATATATGGGACTGTAATTGGTATGAATCTTGCGATTAGTTCAATATTAATGATTGAAGTTACTCCAAAGCTTCATAGAGGAAAAATTATAGTGGCTCTTTAAGTACTAATATTGTTGGGAAGATGTTGGATAATGATATTAGGATATATTTTTATGGAAAGTATTTCTATTGGTAACTGGAGAGCCATCTCTTTATGTAATTGTATACCATGTTTGCTTTGTCTAATTGGAACAATTTTTTGGATTTAAGAATCTCCAAGATTTTTGATTTTAAATGAAGAAATTCAAAAAGGAATAGATAATCTAAATTATATTGGATAATTTAATAATTCAGAATATTAGATGTTAACTGATGATGAAATTTAGAGTATAAAAGAATGGGCATAAATGTAAAAATTGCATCATTAATAATAATAATAATAATAAAATAATTCTATTAAATAACTTTTTAATTAAGAAAATTTAACAATTACATGGAGGAACTATTTGATAAATTTTTTGTTTATGTTTGCAATGATGGCTATCTTTAATATTTTACCATTTATTTTGGATGATGAAAACAAATCATTGTTACATTTATATATTGTAGATATAGGTGAAATCCCAGCTTTATTTGTTATGTTATATAGTATAGATAAATTTGGTAGATTACCTACTTTATTATTTTCTACAACTGTGCTCATTTTAATCCTTTTTTCTATTTGGTATTGGAAATTGTATGTAATCATTATTGGACTCACCATCTTTAAATTTTGCTGCAAGATAAATTGTGGAACATTAAGTGTTTTATTTGCTGAATCCTATCATACATTATATAGATCCTTAGGACTTGGAACAACAAATGCAATGGGAGGATTAGCAGGATCTCTGGCACCATTTTTGATCTTTCCAATCTATTTCTATAATTATTATTTGCCATTTTTAATTTGTAGTGTGATTAGTTTAATCACACTAGTATTATTAATGTTTTATCCTATTGACTTAACCAAAAAGGCATTAGATTAGCTAAAACAAAAATGATTATAAATTATATTTTATATTCAATAAATGAACATGAATTTAATTTATAATGTAAGTATTTCTTTTTATTGTTTGGACATCTTTTGTTAATCAAATTTGATTTTTGTTATCAGTGTTTCATCATAGGAAGGTCAAGATAATTCAATATGGAAATGTCTCTATTGCAATAAAATAGAATAATAAGTAAATTCACGAGGGGATAAAAAATTATTAAAAATTTGTTTTTGATGATAGATATGATTTTCAATTATTCTAAAAGCAAAGAAGTAATTGTTATAAGCAAAGAAGTAATGGTTTTGAATGAAAAGAATTAAATAAATGAACTAATATATGTTTTATAGATTTCCTTTAATTCCCTTTAAAGGTAATTGAATCATGGTTTAGATTTGTCATACTTAGCATAACATTCAATCTAGAATATTATTAACCATAGAGATTAAGAAAAAAATAATATAAAGCAATGATCCTAAAACAGTTAAGATAGAGAATAATTAAATTTAGATAAAGAGCTTAACTATATACTTATAACAGTTAAGTATTTACTTCCATAAAAATATCAGGAAGACAGACATATGATGAAAAAATATATTATTGATAATTTTTGCATTTAAATTTGGTCTCCATTATCTTAATTTTATTATAAAATCAAAAGTATACAAATTAATAAATACAGATATATAATCAATTTAATTCTTAATTATAAAATAATAATTCATATGACTAAGATAACATATTTTATGGAGTATCCTTCAATTATTGAAAATTCACTTATATATATTAATAATTATTATTAAAAATTATTCTATTTAATTTATTTATATTGGAATTAGGAATAACTAAGAAAATTAGAATGATTTTGTTTAGGATAATTTAGATACAAATGATTGTAAAATATTTCAATGTATGATTCAATAATTTAAATAAATAATTTTCTATGATTATTATTATTAGTCGGGGTTAAAGTCTATTTTATTTTTTTGGTCTATTGTGTAGAGGTCTGTATCTCTATACCTATTTTTTCTCTTTATCATGAATTAGTATTCAAGAACCTCTTTTAGTGACTTTATATTTTGGAAACTATTAACTGATTGAAATATCCAACTATTTTTTTTTTCTTAAATATTGTTTTATTCTTTGCTTTAAATTTTGATTACTATTATTAGTATTTCTGAATATTTACATTTTCAAACTAAAGAATCAATTGAAGATTCAATACATATCTCCTTAATACTAAATATATATATTTATTTTATTTACATGCTTCGTAATAACTTTAATTTTGATCCTTCTTAGTTCATTATTCTTTTTTCTAGATATCCATTATAAGATTTTCAATGATTACTTCTTTTGGGGACTGAAACAGGGAAATGCTGGGTGAGTTTGGTTGAATGTTCACTAGAGGAATTAGCTAGCTATTTCTACACTAAACTACTTACAACTTGATTCTATTATAATTTTGTTAACACATTTTTTGAGCTTGAATATTATATACTACATTAGCCCTTCTAAATGAGGAGAAGTTAATTATTTATTCTATTTATTGGATAATTAATATATATATTCGAATAACCTCTGATATCATTTAAAAATATCAAAATAGACATAAATTTTTTATCTAAAGAGAACATTTTATTTCTATCAGTATTAAACATAATTAAAATATTTATAAACCAAAATTAAAAATTTTTAATTTAATTAATTAAATTAATGATACCTAATCAATTATAATTCTTTCTTGATCCAACTAGTTGCTAATAAAGAAATGATCCTAAAGAATACTTTTTCAGTATTGTAGCAAGTAGTTTACTAAAGGAAACTAAATATTATGAAACATCAAATGAGTCCAGAGATAAATTAATTACAACAATGAATATAATAGCAGATATTGATCCTGAATTTATTTTATAAGTTGCTTACTATGTTAGGACTCAAATGTATATCAGAAGTGTAAGTAATTTTATCCTTGCATTTTCTACTCTTCATCCAAAAACAAAACCATTTTGCTCAACATATATGTGTCCTACTATTTTAATACCTGGTGACCTAATCGAAGTGTGTTAATTTGTACAAATAATTTCCATTTGTATTAAATCAAATAACATTTTGGATGAATAGATAGATATTAGAAAGAAAATATATTTCCCAAAAATATTGTAAAAGCAGATCCGAAAGAAGCTTACTCAATTCAATATTTACCAACTTGGTAAACAATGCTCAGATTGTAATAGAAAGAAGAATATTAAGAAATATTACGAAATATTGAATCCAGATATTAAAAATAAAAGAAGAGAGAAAAGATTGTTGTTATTAAAATAAATTAGAGAATAATCATAATAATATGGAAAAGATGCATCATAACAATTTGAAATCAAAGCTATCAGAAAAACTTATTAAATTAGATAAAATAGAAGGAATCATATGAAGAATCCTCATTTTGACAACATTTAGGAATAGTAAACAGTTTTTGATACAAACTTCTTAAATTTGAAAGACATTATTTAATTTAGTCATGTCAAAGAACCTAGAAGTCTGGTAATGTCAATTTTAGGAGTTAAATATCCAAAAACTTAAGAAGAATTTTAAAAAGAATTTAAAGGAGAAGAAAAATTGTAATTTGAACCTGAAAAAGCAGGTTAAAGAATGTAAATTCCAATTCCAATCACATGGGATAGAGAATTAAGTAAAGGATTAAATTCAAAGAGACGTATCTGGGAAAGTTTAATTCAAAAAAATTAAATTCCTTATTTAGCTTTGTTGAGAAATTTAAGAAACTTATTGAAATCAGGTCTGAGTCATGAAGCACATTAGAAAGTAATTGAGAAATTATCAAATCAAAAATAAGTTGAAAATTCAAAGATATTCCCACTTTAATTTTTCACTGCTTTAAATGAAATTGAAAAATTTTAAATCTATAAAGTAAAAAACTAAAAACACAAAATAGAAAAGAAAATGTAAATTGAAGTAGAAGAAGAAAAAGTACCTTTAAATGAAAAAATAAAATCATTATATAAAGATGCTATTGAAAAAGCGATGATATTAGCTGTTAATAAAAATTTAGATACAATTTCTGGAGTTACTTATGTATTTGTTGATGTAAGTGGATCAATGTAAAGTCCAATTAGTGGTGGTAAAAAGTATGGGTCAATTAATTCATGCATGGATTGTGCTTTTGTTTTGGCAAATTTAATAAGAATTAAATGTGAAAGCTGCAAAATTTATTTGTTTGCAGCTCCTAAAGTAACAATTCACCCATACTCAAGAGTTAATTTTCAATAAGATACTTTATTATAAAGTATTATAAGGTGTCAATAAAGATGTTCATAGTTATGTGGATCTTGTGAAATGATTGGATAAACCATTAATGATGTATTATTATAGTAAGGAATTAAAGCTGATAATATAGTGATATTAAGTGACATGATGGTAACAAGGGGATTTTAAGAAAATGGAATAACAATGGACTAAGTCATCAAGGATTATTTAAAAAAAGTGAATTCAGAGGCTAAATTCTTTTTTATGGATATATCTGGTTATGGATAGTAAGTTAGTTTTGGTGATGATCTCAAAAGTAAAAATTGTTTCCTTATTAATGGAATGAGTGATAATGTTCTAAAATACATTTCTTATGCAGGCAAAATAAATCAACTTGATGATATTGTGGCATATAGTCAAGAGTTGAAATCCAGATAGCATGTTCATGAAGTGTAGGAAAATATTGAGATAGCCAAACCTGAGTAAATATAAGCTAAATGATTCTATTTTTATTTCTTAATTTATAACTTGCTATATTTTTTTTAATTTATATAATTTCTATTTTCAAGATATAACTTATTTTTATTATAGAAAAATTAAGATAAAAAAAATAATTGGGAATGAAATTGCAAAAATATTCATTTGATTATCTAAATTATTTCATGAAATTATATTAAATAATTGATTTTGCAAAAGTATGAAACAATTGTATTGAAGAATTGTACTAAATTCATGAAAAGAATTTAAAAAATCTGTAATTACAAAAAAAATTAATGATAAAAAAATCATAAATCATCATATGATAATTAATTAAACTATTATATTCAAATATATCTGATTAAATTGAAAAAGAGTCTGTAACTTAATCTTATTTCTAATAATTCTTTTAATAAGTTAATGTATTCTTATTATGTAGATTTATAATTATTATTTTAATATTTTTAATTTTTTTTTCTTTTATAAGAAGTTTTGTTTCAGATTGCTTAATAATCTTTCAGTCGGATTGAATTATGATGAATAAGATTGGTAAGAAGTTCTGTTGCATTATTTTATGCAAATTAGCCACTTTTTGGCTTTTATAGGTATGAGAGTTGTCAAAAATTATTACACACCTACCAACAAAAAATATTAATTTTGAAGTAAATCTATTCAATATATAAATGTAATTATTCTATGTTATTTTACTATTTATCATATCTTTGACACTTTATGATTATGAAGATTTTGTTCTTCTAAATAAATTGCTATTATTCTTTTTTTAGTTTGTTAAATATATTTTTGAAAATTTTTGCTTTTAATCAAAGTATTTCATCTTAAATGATTTATCTGTTGTCAAAATAGTTATTATAATAAAACTTCTAATCAATACTTTAAATTAAAAGATTTATTTTGTAAAAATGTCAAAATTCATTTAATTAAAATTTTTTATTTACACTCTTTGAACATTAACTTTAATACTACTGTCCTTTTTTTATTACTCTTAATTTAGTTTACTATAGTAGTACAGAAATAAAATTATAATTTATTGGGTTTTTAGGAGATAATTGATTTTAAAGTTAATTTGAATTATTATGTCTTTGGGGATTTTAAAGAAAGGTATGTTTTAGAAGCAGTTAATAGTTATGAAAATTAAGAGTTTGTTTTGATTTATGATAATTTTTCAATACATAGTAACATATTAAAAAAAGATATTTTGTATTGTTAAATATTTTGTTTTTACCAGAATATTCAAATGAATTAAATTGGTAATAAATATCATTTAATGTGAATTAGTTAAAAACTAATTATAATATGTTTTTGGACTATATATTTTTGCAATATAATCTAAATAAGATTATACAATATTAATTTGAATTTTTCTAAATTTAGTCAAACTTGATTCTAATTTAGATATAATTACATACTAAATAATTTTTTACATTAAATCTGTTCTATTATTTATTGTTTTTAATACTTTATTAAAAATAAATTTATTTAAATGAAAATAATGCATTCTATTTATTTGTTTTTTGTAGACTTGATTATAAATATATTCAAATAATTTTATATGTATATTTAACAATATATTATTATTATTATTTTATTGTATGCTTTATTATAAATTTATAAAATTGTTTATTTTATATCTTAAATATTCAATATTTTCAGTTTATTTCTTTTTTGAAAATTTCTAGAATATATAATTCTTTAATTTGTATCAACATCAAGTATTTTAATATAATTATTATATATTTGAAGTATTTAATGGGTTTTTTTTTCTAAGTTAAAAATCAGCCCAATTCACATAGGCAAAAATAACAAAAAAGTTGAAGATTTTTTAATTAAAATAAACTCCTTAATTTTAACTCAATTGAAAAATTATGTGGGTATTTCAAATATTAACCAACTCTTTTTTTTGATTGAAGATATTACTTCGATTTATACATTTATTAATTAAAGCCTATTTTAAATTAACTTTGAAGCATATTAATTAATAAGAAATTAATATTAGAAAATTAAATGTCGTTATTAATGATATAAATGTAATATATTTTTTCATAAACACTTATATTTATACTCTATATTTCTTAACTTTAAGCTCCCTTCAGATATAGTTCATTTTTTCTTGATGAAGCTACTTTTTAGGGCATTTATTATTAATTAAAATGTTCATTTTACAAAAATAATTTATAATATTAAAGAACTTAGGCTCTCTTTAATTCAATTGATATTTATTAAAAATTGAACTATTTATATACAATTATAATTTTTTATAAGCATGTTATATCAAATTGTTTCTACAATTGAGAATTTTATTAGTGTCAATTGATTATAGAAAGACTGAAATAGTTGAATGTTGAAAAAAAATAATCTTTTTATGGAATTCTTCTCTTTTTATATTTTATATTTTTTTCATCTTCATTTAATTAACAAATAATATTTGACATCCAATTATAAATTTTATCTATTTCAAATCATATTTTTAATGAAGAATAATTACTAATATTATTATCTAAATCAAATAACAAATAAAAAATTTTTCAGTATTTTAGGTAAACTTAATTTTTTATTTTTAGGGTTTAATTCTGGCCTATGGACAACACAATTTCGAGGAATATTCTTTTAACGAGTAAATTTCATATTTTTTGTAGATTTAATTGTATTCAAATTTTCAAATTCATGTTTGAAATTATAAAGATGATTCAAATATGCGAATATAATTCCTTATTAGAAATTATGTTTGGGGATAAATTTAATTAATTAAAAGATGATCCAAAATATGTACATTATAAATTTAGTATAATAATTAAGTTGAAATTTAAATCGATTTTTTATAAATTGATATTTCTAAAATTGAATGCATATATTTGATTGCAAAAAATATATGAAAATTTTGTTTAAATTAATTGGAAAATAATATGAAATTTATAAATTATTAGAGTTCAATTTGATTAATATTGAATAAAATATGTATTATGTAAGTTCAATCTTTGAAATTATCATATTAAATGAAATAAAAAAAAATATATAATTAAGTAATATATAATATCTCTAGATGTAGTATTTATTGTCCCTATCAAGAAATTAACAATCTGAAAATGTATTTTTGAATGCAACTTTAAATTTCCGAGATCCGGATGTTTAGAATAGTTTTAAAAGTTTCCAGAAAAAGTTAAATAAATGTACAATGATTTTCATAGAAACTTTTAAAATGTTTTTGGAATTAGCTTTAACTATTTCAGCAATAGTTAAGGACGATTAGTCATTGTAATCATAAATCCTGATAGTTTTTCCAATATCAAGTCTATTATAAATATGGAGTATTTAAAGGAACTCAACATTTAATGACTATTGGAAAATCATTCATGTTATAGCACTTCAGATTTTTTTAGGTTTGTATGTTGATTAATTCATGATTAATGGGTATGTATAATTATATTAAATGTATGTTACTCAAAGCTTAAACAACAAGAAATACTTAATATTTTACTTTACAATAATGTAATTTACTTATTTGTATTTTGATAATTTTTATGACTCGATCGTATTACCTTTTGAATGGATATTTATTTTTGTAATAGTTATAAGTATATATTTGAGAGAGAGAAGGAAATTAGTATATTTTTTTGAGAAATTCAATTTCAGTCATGATCTTTCATATTAAGAAGTAGTACTCAACCATAGTCTACAATAAAACTTGTTTGTTATCAAGCTGAATTCGGATTAAAATTTTTAAGATTTGTTTGAAGTACTTTTTGCTAATTAAGCTTGTAAAAAGGAATTTGCTACTATTGAAAACATATATCAAAAAATAACACAAATATAGATTGTAAATTGCAATGAGTCTAATATTTCTTAATGTAATTTAAAAGTCAATTTAACACAAGATCTCTTATTAAATAATTTTAAAGTATCTACAGGTGAGTAAATTAATATGATTGACAATCCTTAGTCTTTAAATTAAATCCTTTATTAATACATTAATAATTCTTAAAACAAAGAACTTCAAGATAGTCTGCCCTTAAAATTAACAGGAATATTGTATAATAATCATCATTAAACATATGATATTTTAGTTTCTCCATGTATATGGAAACATTAAAAAAGCTATATAGTTTCATTGATTGAAGTAACAGATAGAATTAAAATATCTTAACTTGAAAAGCTGGATTAATATAAAGATAATGTTTTAGCTACAGTCAGTCATGATTTAAAGAATCCAATCGGTGTTATTTAATCCATGATAACATTAGTATAGGATAGTTTATATGAATTGTCTGAGACTGAAACCAATCCAGAAATAATATAGAAAATATAGTCTTGTTGTAATTATTTAGAGATGTGTTAAACAAATGTATAAATATTATAATCTTTTGTTAATGATTTATAAGATTTTGCATAGATTAAATAATAGAAGTTAAAGCTAGCAATTAGTTAATTTGATATTTTATAATTAATTTAAGATGTAAAAAATGTATTCCAAATTTAAATACAAAAGAAGAATTTATAATTAGATATTATATCTAATTTAAAGTCTACTTAAATTTTAAATAATGATCCTTTGAGAATTAAATAGGTTCTCTTTAACTTACTCTCAAATGCCATCAAGTTCACATCAAAAGGAAAAATTTCAATAATATTTTCTGATGATTCTTAGGATATTTGTAAATTTTGCAGGAATGTTAAAGAATAAATTGAAATAAATAAATCAGTAATTGATATTAACAATTTAATTAAAAATAAATAAAGGTTAATACTTTGTACAGTTAATGACAGTGGTAGTGGAATGAGCCAAGAAATTTAAAGAAGACTTTTCAGAAATTTTGCAACTTATGACAATGATAACAACACAAACAAGTAGAGTATTAGTATAAAATGTTAGAAATGGTGTTGGTTTAGGATTGATCATCTGTAAGTAGTTGTGTGGGTACATTGGACCATTGTAGTACATTTATCTATAATCATAAGTTGGAGTTGGTTCAACATTTTAATTTGTCATTTATAAAAATTATGATAAATAGCTTCATTTAGAATAAGATTAATGTAGTGTAGATTCCATAGATTATGATATTTCAGCACATTCTCCATACAAAAATATATTTAGTACAAACCACCTTACTCCTTTATATAAAAAGATTAATAAGAGAAATTAATTATAGGTGCTAATTGTTGATGATGAGTCATTTAATAATATGTTATTAAAAATATAGTTATAAAAAATAGGAATTAATTAGGTGGATATTGCTTTTGGAGGGTAGGAAGCTATAGATATGATAATTAAATAATGTTATGATATTGTATTTTTGGATTTCAATATGCCTGGTATGAATGGATTATAATGTATTATTGAAATAAAACGGATAAATCCAGTGATTAAGATTTATATGTTGACAGCTTTTAATGATATAAAGACTCAACAAAATTGTCTTGATGCTGGTGCAGACAAGATTCTATAAAAACCACCAACCTCCTAAGATCTTTAACTATTGTTTATTTGATTATATAATTATATATAAATATCTATATATAATTAATAAAGAAATATATTGTATAAATTACATCAAAATGGATCATCCTATTTAAAAGATTGAATTAAAAACTCAGAAAGATTGGAGATAAAATTAAAATATTAAAGTAGATATTGGTTAAAGAAAATGAAAATGATGAAATTAATAGATTTTCAATTAAGTTTTAGAGTAGCTTTGAAAAATGATAAGTTTAAATTATCCAGATAAAATAATTGATGAATTAAAATGATTCTTTCAATCATTTTAACTAAATTAGAAAATAAATATAATTAAATTATTAGTTAAATAAAATTTGATCTTCATTTAAGTTTAATATAATAATCATACTTTTTTCTAGTTGTTAAAATTATTTTTCATATCATTTAAGATATTTGTAATTTAATCTACATTAAAAGTTTATAAGTTCATCTAATTCATTTTAGTATTAAGAGTGTTAAATTCTTCTTATAAATTCTCATATTTCTATTAATTATCATGTTCAAATTAAGATAGATCTTTGATATTCTATTACTAAATCTATTTATCATACTTTCTCGATAAGTTATATGTATTCTAACAAATTATAATTAATTGCATGATTTGGTTATTCTTAATAATTGATTCTTTCTTCTTCATAAGCAATAATTTAATTGTTTTAATCAGTTACTTTGTATTCTAGATCTTTGATTATTTATTCTAAACTTTCAATTTTTTGAATTTAACTTAAATTAATTTTGTTTAATCTTTCATTTTCTTTAACTAATTATGTTATTTAGGTTTCCTTATATTATGTAATAAAAATACCATATTTTAAATAATAGATGTGGTTTGATCAGTTTAACAAACATCTTTATATTTATTTTTCCAATCTTCAATTTCATGTGTTTAATGATCAATGACAGATTCTAATCTTTCTACTCTTTATTTAATAACATTGAAATCTGTATTTTCAATTTAATCAAGTAGTCCTTGTTTTTCTTTTGTTAATTTAGAAACCAAATCAGAAAGTTTTTTATTCTCTTACATGTAATGTTTAAGTTAAATTTCAATTTAGGTTTAGGATTAATCATTTCTAAAATTAGAATTCTCCTTATTTATTTATGGACTATCTTGTGTTAATATTCTTTTAGCATTACTGGATCTGAAACTATTCTCAGTTGGTTATGATGGAACATTGACTACTTTGACATTCTTTAACATATTAAACTTTTAAGGTGTAGAGGGTGTCAATTCTGCAAAAATTGGTTATTAGATTGGTTTATGTTAAAGAGAGTTTTAAAGTAATGACTAATATGTTTTAATTTTAGGAGTGGATGCAAACATTGTAGCTGTTAAATAATAAATATATAATATTAAGATAGTTTATTATATATATATAAATTATGAAATCAAAATAATATGTGTCTTAGATATTAGATTTAGATGAACAAAAATTATAGATCAAATAATTAGAAGAGAAAAATGTAAAAAATATACTAATAAATAGGAAAGATTACTTTAAAAAAATTATGATTTGATTCGTGAAATAACACATTACTAAATACAATTAAGAGATAAAGATTAATAAATTGAGTAATTGAAAAGAGAGAATGGATAATTACGATTTGAATTGCAAGTATTTTCATATTAAAAATCAAAGTTAGCTTTGAAATAAGAAGAATTATATAGTGCAGTATCATTAGATAGATATAAGAAAGTTGCTTAAACAATTCAACCTTAAAGTATACTTAATGTATATCAATATTTAGGAAAAAGAATATTTGAAACTAAGAAGACAACTTTGCATATGAATTACTTGAGTCCTAAGAAATGTAATAATGAACAGGATGATGTCATTAGTCCTGAAGTAGTAGAACTTCGAAAATACAGTGAAGATGAATTACATTAAGTAGTCGTGTAAGAAATTTAAGTGCAGGAATATAATTATGATAATGCATCTAAAGTTGATTAAATTATACAGAAATACTCAAAAAAGAAATTAGAATAATGTAAAGGTGAAGAATCAAATTTTAGTTCATAGCAATTATTTTAGGAACCTATTCAAATTGAATAAGAATTATTATCATCAAAATAATTATTGTAATAAGACTAGGCTTAATAATATTCATTATTTGAAGAATTCATTATTATTAGTGTTTCTAAATCAACTTTAAATGGGTTAACTAGTAATATATTAGAAAAAAGAGAAGTGAATTTAAAACCGGAGATATTATTTTAACATTCATCTGCTACATCATGTTATAAGGAATAATTATTATTATTACCATAATAAATACATCCATATGGATTGAAGGTGAAATTAGAAGAGAAGACTCTATCCATGAGTAATTTGAATTCGTATATTATATAATATATATTTTAGAATTTTAATGGGTGGTTAAAGTTATGATAGATTAGCAGGTGCATATGTAATTACTATGAAATCAGAATAAACATTTAATAACAATAAAATTATTAAGAATCCAATTTAAATAAATACAGATAATATTAGTGATCTAATTTCAATTACTAATATTCATCATTAATTATATTGTGTATGTGTTGATGTTCCTGATTTCTATGATTACAATGTTTGTAACAATAACTCAAAATTACAAAAGAAATACTTTTATTCACTTTCTAAGACTTATTGTTTCATCACTAAAGCCCCAATTATTGATTTCTTTATTGAAGTCATTAAAATTATTATAAGTATCAATATTATTTATGATTAGATACATTAAAATACAAAAAAGCAGAGATCTATTCAATGGTTTCAGAATTCGAAGACACATTAGGAAATATTGATAATTCTTTTTATACAGTAAAATAAAATTTTATAGTAATAATAGTCATTCAAACCAGAATTATTTAATTTTTTAACAGAGTTATAGAATTCGAAATATATTAGTGAATGCAATTATTAATTTTTATAGACTCCAATAAAACCATAACTCATTCATTGTTCAAATGTTCAAAATTATGAAATAGAATGGGCTATATCATATGCATTATCACATATAGAATTACCCCATTATTTAATTCTTTTGATCAATATGATGTTGGAATAGAATATATGTATAATTAGTTATAATCGAACTTTATTAAGTTCATTATTGTAATTTTTATATATAATAAAATAGGATGGTATTACCACATATGATTTAACCATTTTAACATATACATCCTACTATTCATGCTTTAACTGCTTAATTGATGCCAATCCTTGATTCTCCAGTTCCAATTATTTGTGGGATTGTTAAAGATAATGAAAATGGATTAAGTAATTTGGGTATTGAAGATGATGAATCCTTTTTTCATGAACAATCTCAAGTTCTGTTTTTTGATGTTAACAAACTTAAATTTTTTAATTTAGCAAAGAATATAACAGATAGTAAGATGTATACAACTTTATTTTATAACTTATTCCAAACTTATTAATAATTACGTCAATAAAGTGTTCCTGGACATTATTTAGCAGATAATAATGAAGCAACATTAAATTTGAGTTTAAAAATCTTAGATGATACTAAAACCTATATTTAAGAAAATTTACTTTCTTTGGTTCCAGAGCTTGATGGTGATATTAATCTTGATTCAATATAAGATAAGATACTTAATTCAACTGAGGATGAAATTTTCAAATAAATAATAAAAACCCAATATTTCTCTTACTACATATAATAGAAATTCCATCCTTTATGATATATTTATAATTATATAATAATATATAAATAAAAGAAGATTATATAATAATAATATTATGATTTGAATTTATATACATATATATATTTATATAGTTATTCACAATTTTTCTAAATATTAGATTACTAAATGAGGGTATTTATTTTTCATAACCAAAAAATTTATATCATTCATTTTTCCATCATTCATCTAAACTCTAAATACATTATCTTTGTGTTCAAGTATTATTTTAGGATCCAAGGGAATAGGATCATTTTCTTCAAGTACTTGTTCCTTTTTAATAATGTTTATTCTTATATTCTAATTTCGTTTATTTGTAATTCCATATTATATCAATTCTACCTATAGATCTTACCTGAAATCACTCTTAATATTGTAAAGTACACTATCTATTCCAATCAAATCATTTTTCTTTATATATACTTCCTCTATTAGTCCAGGCCATTTATTATAAAGTTCCAATACTTCTCCCTAATTTGAAATATTTAGAGCACTATAACAATTATACACATAATCACCCTCATCTTATAATGATGTGCACAAGTATTACTAATGAACACTTCAATTACTTTGACTGTTTTTGTTTGAATTGGCTAATCTAATAAATCTCTTAGAGTAACATTCATTCCAATAGAATTAGAACTTATTTTAGAATATTCATATGTTTGCATATATTAAAATTAATGAAATTTAATTCCAAGAAAAACGCTATCATAGGAATCATATTATTTTGTATTTACATCATTGTGGATCTATTTATTGATGAGATTTTACTTTAATATACATACAAATTGATCTTTTCTATTAAGAATCCATTATTTATTGAGTTTAGCTATCTAATTAAAACAACATCATTATTGCTATGTGAAATCATATTTCTATACCTTTATTTGAGTTTTAATAAGAAATTAGATGTGCTTTTGTTGATTTTATTTAGTTGTGTTTTAACAGGAACACATGCTTTTCTAAAAGAAATCTATAATTAAGGCAGACCCTACATGTTCAATTCAGATGTTTAAACGTAATCTCTCTTTCTATTATAGTTTAGAATGCATTGCAGAATTAGGCAAACCATCAGGTCATGCAATTTGTATTGTTTCTTATATGATATCCCTCTATTAGGCTGATCGTTTTGAAAATGAAGAAGAAATGAAGCTACCACTTTTTAAATCAATTCTTTATACAATAATAGCTTTGATTGTTTGTTTATCTAGAATAATATTAGGAGTACATTCTATAGGATAAGTAATTTATGGTATCATATTTACATTATGTATGTATATGATTTATTTGAATATTGTACATCAATAAATAAAGAAGTAATTATTCTATTAATATAATTCAGATTCATTCATAAACATATCAAATATTAAAGTCATAAATTAACTATATTTACAGCAGTATTATTTTTAGTATTTTTAACACTATCTTTATCAGCTGATTTCTATTCTCGTAATTACTTTGCTTAATAACCTGATTTATATTATAAATATATAGATGCTGTTTAAGAATGTAGGGTAAGGAATGGATTAGAAAAATTAAATGATGAAAGTGGATTCATTCTTTAGAGATCAACTTCTCATTCCTATGGTTATTATTTTATTATCATAGGAGCATTATTGGGTAAGCAAAAGAGAACTATTGATTAGGACTGGTTATATTTAGAGGTGTTTATGAAGAAGGATTATATGAAGTTCAATCTAAATTCAGAACTAGATTGACTCTTTTTATTAGAATTATGATATTTTACTTAATGATATTTTCAGTTTAATATGGAATGGAATATTTTGAACCAAAATAATATGAATCATATCTTGTAATGATAGTGGTTGGACATATAATATTAGGATTATGTGTAACATTAATCTATCCAATATTAATGTATTTTTTAGGATTAGAAATATATGGAAGTATGTAATGTGTAAATAAGTCTACTTTATTTATTGATTATTCACATATATGGGAATCAGATAGTATCATTTAAGAATGAATAAGAATATAAATATATATATTATAATCATAAACTAATATGAACATATTCAATGTTTACTCAATAATGAAAATCCTTCAACTAGATGATAAGATATCTTTTCAAAGGTTTTCTTAATGTCATCCAATATTTTCTATAATAAGTTTCCATTTTCTTTAGTTAATTCAAATACTTCTATTTTCTGATTAATTTATTATTCTTCTTCAAATAATCCATACTATTTGTATTTAAATAAAAGATCAATAGGAAGATCTTCATGTTGTAAATTAAGAATAGCAATTTAACTCATGCATTAAACATGATTAAGTAATTTTAACAATTCCTTATTTTGAAATAATAAATCAGATTTCATTTTGGATAACATCTTAACATAAAAGTCTTCTAAAGATTTGATTTCATCTTAAATCTATATAATTTAAATTGGAAATACTTTAGAGAATTATTAAATCTAATCATTTTTATCATTTAATTCCTTCTCTAGTAATTTAATTTATGTTTTTTGTTTTGCTAAATCATTATCTGTACCTAGAGATAATTTCAATTATTGGTTATATGATGTTAATTATTAGATAGTGAAATTTAATTTCTTAATAACCATATCCTTATGTTTAATTTAGTCTTTCTGAATTTGCATCTGTTATTTGAGAGTCAAAATTTCTTACTAAAGATTGTAGTAAAACTTACTTACAAAGAAGTGTTTTCATTCTACATATCAATGGTCTTCAATTCTTTAACTTATTGTTCATAAATTTATTTCATTGGAGTTTAGAAATCACTTGTAGTAGTAACAAAGCTACCCAATTTAGATGATATTTTTTAGAACTCTTCTTTGAAGGATGTACATGGTTACGTTATCATTTAGGTTTCTAATGTTTTTCTACTTTAAATTTTATTATCAGATTGAAGAGTTTAAGTTCGCTGAGTTGCTTTTGGTGTGCGAAACCAATTTTTACTTTATTCCTTTTATGCACTTCTAGTGGATGAACATTTCAAGTATTATTCATATTACTTCATTTAATTAAGTAGTTATTAATATTTAATTATTATTATTTTCATCTTAATCTTTTATTTCCAGTTAGAAATATAATATTAATAATGTATGATAACAATCTATAAGTCTTTTATTCAATTCAATATTTCTATATTAATAAGAATATTAAAACACTAGAATATTATTATAAGTATCTAATATAATTAAATTGGTATTATTACTAATATTAATTACATTATTGACTATTAATCAATTACAATTATATAATTAATCTAAACCTAAATTCACTGAACAACTATGAATTTCATCAATTAAATAATTTAAAAGTACAATTTTTTTCTAGAGAATAACAAATATTAATGCTAAAAATTGTCTATTAAAATGTTATCTACTTCATACATAAAAAATAAACAAAATTATTCATATATTATCAGAAATATAAAATATTTTCTGTATTTTTTATATGAAAGCATAGATATATTAATAAACATTATGCTTCATTTATTCTATATAAGAGTAAATAATGAAATTAACCATCACCAAAAGTACAAATAATAAAAGGATAACCTATTTAACAAGTATAATTAGTACAAGATAATGATAACTTAAATCTAATACTTAAGCAACCAAAAATAAATTCTTATAATTAAATATTCAACTCTTTAAATGTATAATAGAAATTAAACCATATTCCATTTCCATCATAGATCTTTAAAAAATAATCAAAATCTATTTTATAAAGCAACATCAACAAGTTTTGAATCCATTATAAACTTTAATTTAGACTCATGTTAAAAAGATAGGCAAAGTTATATACTTGAAAATGAGTATAATTCCATTTCCAATAAAAGAATTATGAAATAATATGACTTCTCTCCAAAATTGAATGTGACTTTATTTTTACTTATATATAAATAATTTGATGGAAGATCAAGTTACTCGTTTCAAGAATAAGTATCTGATAAATCGTAGTAACACAAAAAGAATGACAATACGTAAACCCTAATTAGATCATTCACCAGATAATTGGAAGGAAATGTTTGGTAACTTCTTAAATGATATCTCGTTAAAAAGGAAACATCATAGAGAGAAGACTATGAATGTATAATTATATTTATAAATATATTAGCCTCTTTAAGATCCATTAGTTCATGAGAATCCTCTTTTAATATAATGTACAACTTAAAGATTTAAGTTGGAATTATTTAAGTATCTCGAAGGAGAATAAAGTGTTTATGAGATGATAAATTCTATCAATTTCCCTGGATTAAAAGTAATTATATACTTGGACAAGAGTAAGAAATAAGTCCAGACTAAACAACAATAAAAAATCATGTCCAAAAGTTGCGAAGTTTTAGAAATCATCACCATAGTGTTCCTATATATGATAATTCTATTCATACAATGTAAATGAAATAACATCATCTAATGAATGAAGGAAAATTTACAGAAGCTCAGTAAATATAACAATAATTACATGAATAGACATAAAGGAAAATTTAAGTTTTAAGAGATTTTATTTAAGAAAGAGTAATAATTATTAATATTACTATTTTTAGATTGAATTAAGAAAAAAGGCTAATTAACAATAAAGATTGGAAGAAATTAAAAATATTCATTTTATTAAAACCTTCTATGATATTTCTAATGAATATCGTCTTAAACATTAATAATAATAAGAATAATTAAATGAAGATTTTCATTACTTTAAAAAGAGTGTTCCAGGTTCTAAAAAATTAAAATAATTATATGTGAATTATGATAATGTTTAACCTTATGTAAAACACTAAGGCAAACACTTTGATAAATATAGCTATCCATCTATTGCTATTCTTAAAGATACTATGAATTAATAAAGCAAAGAGTATTTATAAGAAGTTGAATAATAGAAATAGAAAAGATTAGAGGATGCTTTGAAATAAGTTAGAAAATTATTAGAATCTCAAAATATTCGTTTTAGTAGTAATAGAAATAATAATAATAAATCTTAACCTTTAGATTGGTAGATTGATGTTACTATTGCATCTCCAAAAAGAAATCCTAGTGAAAAGATTAATATCTCTTAAACTGGAATAGATTATAAAAATCTTAAAGATTATGTAATAGCAAAGAAACCTTTTTTTCTATTTACAAAAAGAGCTAAATAAGATAAAAATCCAAAAAATGCTCATGGACTTATTACTATGTATGATCTTAAATTATATGATTATATTCATAATAAAAAGATTTATACATCCAATCCTCAACTCAAATAGATATCTGATAAACTTCATACTATGATTGAAAGTAAAAAAGAATAAGAAATTAATGCTTAATTGGAAATTTAAATTGAATAAAGAAAATATTAATTAAATAAAATGAAAAGAGATTCAGTACCTGAACAATATTAAGATGATGTATCTTAGTATTCAGATGATTAATCATTATAATCAATATATGAAGTTAATTTGGATATGTTATATAATTAATCACATTAATTACATAAAAAATTAGGAGAATCAATTGATGGTGGATTTGCTAAAAGAATTAAATAGATTATAAAATTGGAAGAAGTAAATCAATAATGTTTGAAAACTAATATTGACAAATTAACAAAATAAAAAATTGCTTTTTGAATATCATATGTAAATGTATTAATTATATCATTTTAATCATTAATTATATAAATACCTCTTTTAACTTTTAACAAATTTTTGATTGATCTAACAATTTTAATTAATTATTTAAAATCTATAATGAATAAGATAACATTGAAATTTATAGATAAAGCAATTGAATAGAAATACTAACTTGAACATTAATAACCTAAAAGAAAAACTCATCTAAAAATACTATTAATATTTTTTATTATGCTATAGATCATCAAACTGATTATTGCAATAATAATTAATAATTATAAAGCAGTTTATCCTACACTTGGAATGATGGGATTTACAACTCTTTCAAAATTCTTTAATATTGATAAAGAATATCATTAACGAGCATTAATCATATACATAAATATATGTTTTTCAATTTATGTGATCTTCTTTGATCCACAATCAGATTCTCCAACTATGTATTTTAGAGGAGCCAATTAAATGGTCATCAACATTATCAATATAATAGGAATAGAATTTTTAGATTCAACAATTACAATTATTTTATTGTACTCACTTAGAATATTACATCTCATCTTAAATACTTCAAGTATTGATATTACTTCTATTATTTTTGGTTTTGGAGCTAATATATCATTAATTATTATGGTTTATTTTTATCATAAAGCCATTAGATCATAATTTCTCTTATCTAAAATTGATTAAAGATGGGAAAATATATTAAAATAAATTATTCATAATTAATAATTTATCTTAATCAAATATTAAGTAGAAAAATTATAATTTTAAAGTGTATCATCTACTTTTTCAAAAACTATTCAATCATAAGAAGAAGTAATTAAATTTTTAAGAGAAGCAAAAGTAGATAATGGTTCTTTAGAATAATATTTATTTCATAAATTATAAGATTTCTCTTAATAATATATAGAAATTATTAATCATTCAATAAATGTTAAGTTTGATAAATAATTACTTTAGGTTTATTTTTCTATCTTTTTTGGAAATCAACCAACCATACTAATTTAATTAAAGCAATCATAATTATAATTAAAAAACAAAGATGTTCAAAAAGTATGTTAATTATATCTAAAACTGTTAACTGTTTTTATTAAAATAATTAAAGAAAATATACCTTTTGATTATAATTAATTCCATAATTTAGCTAATAAAATTTAATTTTAAAATAAAATAACATCAATATGGAATAAATAAATGATATCAAAAACAATCAGTCTAAAGAAATCTATATTGAAAATTTAAAAATTTTGTAATCCAAACACCAAAATTTAACTAATTAGTTCAGATTTAATCATATATACAATTCCAAAAATATTTCATTTATTATTAGCTTGCATAGTCGATAGTTCAATTAGTGAATTAATCATTATCAAATGTGAGACTGTAGAAACTCAATTGAAGCTAATTAAAATACAAGGAAAATTTAATATTCGAAAATTAAATTCTTATACTATAAAAATTAAGAATTGTTTACTTCTCATTTGCAAAGAAATTAATGTCTAATAATTTTGTAAAATTTTAGTTAAATAATATTAGGTATTAATATTGAACTTAATGATGAAATTCTTTAACCATTTACTAATATTATTATGCCCTAATTACATTTTAATTATTCAAATAAAAAGTTAACATAATGAATCAATATAATAATGTTATTTAATCAATTAAATTAAAGAAACTTCTTCAACACTTGTACATTACTTGTAACTTCAAAATTTCCTTGAAGATTTCGCTTTTTACATTCTCCTTAAGCTCTCTACTAATCTCCACAAAAAATAAGAGTATGATTTTTGTACTTCATTTTTTAATATAAATGACATAATAAATCTATACCTGCATTATAATTCATTTAACCTTCTTCTATTCTTACCATATCACTAACTACTCTAAATTAAGATTAAGCTAAATATATGAGCCATTTATATTTTTAGATAATTTGAATTGCATCTTTAGTTGAAGTACAGAATATAATTGAAATTTTATTATTTTATCTTTCTATTTCTACGGCATTGTCATAATTATTTTAAGGATTATCATCCACCCAAAGTAACACATTCTCTGATCTGGGTAATGGTAATTCTCTCATAGTTACGATATGAGGTTAATTGGGATTAACATGAATTTCATCAATTACAAAAGTTGAAAAGGGATACATTATTACCTCTTCTTCTCCTTAAAAAAGAGAAATATTGGATATATCTTTGGCACTTATAAGTTCAACATTAAAAATCATGCCTTTATTATTACTAAAATTTTAAGCAACTTTCTTATTTAAAGAAGCACTACTAACCTCATTCCATTATACAGTTTTTCCCTTTTGATATATTATAGTATTTTAATAATCTTTAAATCCTCGATATGCAACACCTTTATAATATTTCAAAAGTCGAAATCCTTCCATTAAACATTTTAAATATTTCTTCCAACTTTGATATTCTGATGTTCTTAGATCATTATTTAACTTTTAATAGATTAAATTACTTGTATATAATCTGATAGCAATAATGCTATGAAGAGGAATTTATTAATAAATTTATTTCTTTTATTCATTTCCATTTATTTCTTCCAGATTTGTTTAAATAAATTCATTAATTTAAGAATTACCTAAAAATTATAAAGAATCTTTAAGTTATGATACATTTTCAAGTTTTTAATTATATATCTCTATAGTAAATTTTATTGGAAGTCCTCCAGAATGTTTATCAATAAAGAAAATACTTTAAACATCTGTTAGTGGTGTAGTAGCATCATAAGAAATTAAAGGATTTCCATTACATAATATTAATGATGTTTCAATATATTATTTAGATTCCAAAATCTCTAAAAGCTATCTGATATTTCCTAAATTTTACTTCTTATCAACTGTTAATAGATATGATTAATTGTTTGCTATTATAGAAATATTTTCATTAGTATTTTAATCAATGGCTTATTTTTCTCCTTAAGATTATTTAATAACTTTTAATACCAAAACTTCAGGTACAGTTCCATCAAATTAAAGATGATAATCTTCTAATGCATAATTATCATTCATTAATATTCCTTTATAATATAATTATTATGATTAAGCAGGTATTCCTTTATGCTTTTCGATTATCGATTTTATGTGTTGAATTAAATAATTTGGTAATACTTCAAATTCTTCCTTTTTATTTTCAATTTCTACTAATAATTTATTCATATTGTGTACTAAAAAGTTAAAAGCAATAAAATTATTAGGATATTATGTTGTAATATTATAAACAAATTCTGTTTCTCTTACTTCATTTATTTAAACAATATTAACAAATTATCCATTAGAATCAAATAGAAGATCACTTTCATTTAATTTTTCAATACAAAAATTTGGATGTGGTTATAATGCCTTCCATCCAGTTTAAGTGTAAACAGGATGATTTGGAGTACAAACAATTCTACCATTCTGACAAATAATCTCAATTAATTTTTATTTATCAGTTGATATTTTCTTAAACACAACAATAGACTATTTGAATTGTTTTTATTCAAAATCATAACACATAACAATATCACCTAATTCAATATCTTTTATTATTTTTGTAGTTCCATTAAAAAGTTTAATTGGAGCATATCCAGGAAAACAACCCCATAATCTTGAAATAACACAATATAAATCTAAAATCTAAGAAATTATAGGCACCCCACCCCCACCACCCTTTAATCTCTTTATTAGATGCAAAGTACTTTCAGGTTGTATATTGTATTAAATAATAAGTTTTTCATCCTATAATTGTTTCCCTTGAAAAATAATTCTTTATTCAATTGNTATGAAGAGGAATTTATTAATAAATTTATTTCTTTTATTCATTTCCATTTATTTCTTCCAGATTTGTTTAAATAAATTCATTAATTTAAGAATTACCTAAAAATTATAAAGAATCTTTAAGTTATGATACATTTTCAAGTTTTTAATTATATATCTCTATAGTAAATTTTATTGGAAGTCCTCCAGAATGTTTATCAATAAAGAAAATACTTTAAACATCTGTTAGTGGTGTAGTAGCATCATAAGAAATTAAAGGATTTCCATTACATAATATTAATGATGTTTCAATATATTATTTAGATTCCAAAATCTCTAAAAGCTATCTGATATTTCCTAAATTTTACTTCTTATCAACTGTTAATAGATATGATTAATTGTTTGCTATTATAGAAATATTTTCATTAGTATTTTAATCAATGGCTTATTTTTCTCCTTAAGATTATTTAATAACTTTTAATACCAAAACTTCAGGTACAGTTCCATCAAATTAAAGATGATAATCTTCTAATGCATAATTATCATTCATTAATATTCCTTTATAATATAATTATTATGATTAAGCAGGTATTCCTTTATGCTTTTCGATTATCGATTTTATGTGTTGAATTAAATAATTTGGTAATACTTCAAATTCTTCCTTTTTATTTTCAATTTCTACTAATAATTTATTCATATTGTGTACTAAAAAGTTAAAAGCAATAAAATTATTAGGATATTATGTTGTAATATTATAAACAAATTCTGTTTCTCTTACTTCATTTATTTAAACAATATTAACAAATTATCCATTAGAATCAAATAGAAGATCACTTTCATTTAATTTTTCAATACAAAAATTTGGATGTGGTTATAATGCCTTCCATCCAGTTTAAGTGTAAACAGGATGATTTGGAGTACAAACAATTCTACCATTCTGACAAATAATCTCAATTAATTTTTATTTATCAGTTGATATTTTCTTAAACACAACAATAGACTATTTGAATTGTTTTTATTCAAAATCATAACACATAACAATATCACCTAATTCAATATCTTTTATTATTTTTGTAGTTCCATTAAAAAGTTTAATTGGAGCATATCCAGGAAAACAACCCCATAATCTTGAAATAACACAATATAAATCTAAAATCTAAGAAATTATAGGCACCCCACCCCCACCACCCTTTAATCTCTTTATTAGATGCAAAGTACTTTCAGGTTGTATATTGTATTAAATAATAAGTTTTTCATCCTATAATTGTTTCCCTTGAAAAATAATTCTTTATTCAATTGGGAGCATACCTAATTAAACATGTATTTTCTCTTTAATATCAGCAACCTTCATGTTCAAATCTTCCATATCTAAAGTTATTGTTTTCCCAGTTAATGTTTTAATATAGATTTCCCATTTTGGAGGATATATATAATTCATATTTATGAATTTCAAGATTGAATTGTTTTTAATATCTTAATTATTGAATCTTTTTTCTTTGTTCAAATTATATCCATCATAAACCATCTACACTTTATTAGTATCAAATGATGCAAGATATTTTTAGGATATTTTCTCCATGAATTATCCAATAATTTATGACGTGTCTATGATTTCTGTTTACAATTCCTAGATACCGAATTCCTTTAAATCAAGAAATATTAATATATTTTCAACTTTCTCTTAAATTAAAATTTACCTGCTTATTATTTATAAATATCCTTCTTCTACTCTTTAACTTCAAAAAAATCAATCTCATCAACAATTGGAGGGAGATCATTAATCTTTTTCCATTTATCAAAAGAAGGAATCATAATAGTATTCGAATAATTAATATTAATTATTTAAGTTTATTTGATTATATAATTATGTAATAATCGAATTCTAATTATAATATAAAATGATCAATGCTTTGGCCAAATTACTACTATAATAAACTTTATAAGAATATACATTACACTTATATTTCATAATATGAGACTACATGAATTCTAAGTTCTAAATATTCAAATTATTTAACATATGATTAAATAAATAATCATAGATATGTTAATATAATTATTATATTTTTCTATTTTTAATGTCATTACTCTATAATAAATATAAAACCATCATTTAAATATTTTTTTCTTTCTTTTTTTATATTAAAATATTGATTAGTAATATATTAAAAGATCATGTAAATAATTATATTTAATATTTTAAAGAATAAATGGATTATGTTTGAAAAAGTACACAAATCCCTCAAAATAATAACAATTTAAAATGATATATATTATAAATTTATATATTATCAAATTTAAAAGATATATTTATGTGCTCACAATAATATATATTATAGTAATATAATTTCAATGATTATTTAAAAAATGAACTTATATAAAATCTATTTGTTTAAAACAAAGTGAAAATAGATATTAATAATAAAATAAAGTGATAATATTATACAAAGAGAGATTTCGATTAAAGGATATAATATCTAATTTTAACATTATTATTTAATATAATTTTTTTTAAATATAGTATAACATAGAAAAATTGAATTAGAGAATCATTAATTCTCTTATTGATATAATCCATTAATCCATCTACCATTTATAAGTTCTTTTTTGGAATTAATAAACTATCCCATTCCTTATATTTTATCATCTTAAAATTATCCTTAAAACATACTCTTATCACTGAAGTATAATGTACCATTACCATTTTTTCTATTTTATATTTATAATGTAATACTTTCCCATCTTGAATTCTCCATCATATTAAACCCATGCTTTCAAATTTATGGCTACATTTAAATCTATATGATCTACAAAATCAATCTTTTCATAATCAAGATTCTTAAGTATTCCATACCCATCATATTAATCATCACTAAATAGTCCAGCATAAATAACCTTTCCTGATTCATTTGTTATGTAACCTGAGATTATTTATATTTTTTACCTTATCTACGATAATTAATGTCTAAAGTTGAATGATATGTTATTTGATCACTAGCATATGATTTATTTTTATTATTGAATTAATTTTGAGGATGTGATAAAGTGGATACATCACCAATTTAAGGAACTTTGATATCATATATTTCTTAAGGTATATCATTTTTTCCACTATTAATTTATTTTATCATATGTGACTTAACACTAATTTATTAATTCTATTAAAATAAGGATTTGAATTTAGACACTAATTACTTCTCCTAAATTTTTTGATCTCTCCATACTCCTCTTACAATATTCTTATTAAGAGTGTAGAATTATCCATTACCTTCTATCTAATCATTTACAAAATTGCCTTAATAATATTCATTATTTGATAAATATAATGTTCCTTGACCATGTTTTCTATATTTAAATAAAATATTAATACTTTGAATTTTGAATATATCCTTCATATTTTGTTGCATAATTCATTACATTTGTAAAATCATTATAATCATATGCTTCATTCAAAATTTCATAATTTTTATATTGAATAACTTAATAAGGATTTATAACTTCTTGTTTTTCTTTGTTTTAGAAATCTAAATAAAGTAGAATAAATATATACTTATTGATTCCTCTAATTCTTCATCTATTTATTTAATCTATTATTTACTATTAAGTAATTTAATTATATAGTTCTCTTATTCTAGAGGAACTGACACTAATCCATTAAGAATTCTACTTATTTTACTTTTTGAACTTTGATTTAATACTTATGACATATGAGATTATTATTAATTTGATAATCCAATATTTCTGATTGCTAATAATATAATTAACTATGGATAATCAGGTCTCTAATTTGGATCGATTATCAACATTTAAGCAATAATTTTTAAGAAATCTTTTTCATAGTTGTTTTTTTATAATAATTCTTGTATTCTCAAATTCAAAGCATTCTCATCTATTCCACATATTTTATATAAATCTTGGTTACTTTTATCTATTTTTAAATTATGATAAAAATATACTTAATATTATATGTAACATCAACATTCCAAAACTAAAAACAGTTGCTCTTTCAATATCAAATTTAATATTCATAAATTCTTCTGGAGCTGGATAGCCTTCAAGATATTTATGATTATTAATAAAAGATTTAATTTATTAAAAAGGTTTTAACATCCAATAATTTCCATCTTTCGTATAAATATTAGAGAAACCTAAATATTAACAACTATCTCTTAATGTTCTTTGAGCTTCTATAATATTTACAACCATATTAATGATTTAATTTTTATAGAGTATTTTTTATCTATTTATATAATCCATTAAATTATAAGATGGATGTTCCATAATTATGGCAAATATGTATTATTTAGTAAAAGTTTCTACAATACATCCTCTTGATTAATAATAAATTTTAGTTATTGATTAACATTAATGATAATCTTAAGCCATTAATTCAGCATCTTCATAAGTGTCTGATTCTGATTTCCATACCCAATGTTCATATTATTTGTCTTCTTCAATGTGTTCATATATAGTATAATCTCCCCTTTCTGCAAGAAATTTCATCTACTTAAGTCTTCCACTTAATAAGACTATTTTATCATTAGAATTAGAATTGCCCATTTTTAATATTTTATTATTACTATTATTTAAATTCTACAATTTGTGTTTTATTGTCAATTACATATCAATAACTTATATATATAAACAACAATTCATTTTTATCTTTTATAGAGCAAAAGAATAAATTTGGAAACATAAAAAAATATATCATTTGAAAATGATAGGTCCAAAATCAATATTTGAGATACCTATTTCAGATTATCAGAATCAAACAAATGATGATTTAGAATGCTTAGATGATTATTATTCTGAATCTATGCCAAAAGATGACATATCAACATCATAATTCATTTAACACAAACCTAATCATAAACTAAAAACTTAAAAAAGAGTCAGATTTAATCTAGATATTGTTCTATGTTAATTTAGTAAAGATGAACCAGCTCTTACAATTTCTAAATAAACTAAATAACTAATTGCATCAAGGCCTAACTTAATGTGGGTTAATCCAACATTTTTTAACTTGAACAAAATATGATTTTTTATTTTATATATTTCACTTCTTTTTTTACTTTCAATCACCAACCCTATTTATTTATGGTCATAGATCTAAGATTAATCAATTCTTTAAATTTAAGAATTAATGGGCAAAAATATTTATTATACAATACTAATATATTTACTACTCAAACCCTAATGTAGAGAATAGATTTCAATACTTTCAATAAAGTATTTTGTATAATTTTTATCATATTTGAATATAAATTAATCAATTTGTCTGTCACTTCCATTTTTTAAAATAATCAATTAACAAATATTATTTACATTTCTCAACTTATAAGTTATGATTAAATGTAAAGAACTCATTTTTTTAAATTATAGAATTAAATCAATGTAGAATTAAAGATTCAGTATATATTTATAATCAAAATAATCATTTGGCAAACTCAATTAAAATTTTTATTTCATTTTTATATATTGAGATTTGAAATTCAATTATTATCAATACTAAATAAGAGCTTTTAAATTAATTAAGTATTTATATGTTACATAGTACTTGATTACCATAAATTAAAATAAATTTCTATTTAATTATTTTTATTGACCATTGCGATTTTAGGAACAATTAATCAATAGGAATTTAAATAATTTAAATTATTAAAAAAAAAAATAGAGAATAAAATTCATTATTAAACAAATAATATGTATTTTTGACAAAGATGATCAAATTTTACAATTTGAATCTCCTTGAGTTTATAAAATAATTTTATTTTTACATAATAATTAATATCAATATGAGAGTTAATAAATATGTGTTATAAATAGAATTTTAAAAACCTTGGTAGTAAATATACAATTATTTATAAAAAATTCTTATTATGAAAAGCATTAAATTCTTAATTAATTTACAACTTATCTTAAAATATCTGTTATTTATTGTAATTGAGTATAAAATCATAATAATTTATTTTATTCTATTTTTAAAATTAGATCATAATTTGCATGAAGAAGAATTGAATTATAAGATAACAAGTACAAGTATAAAAATTGTGCAGTTTATTAAATTTTTCTGTTTATCTTTTTAATAATATTTCTAGGAAATCTTAGGTTTATTTGTAGATGTTCAACAAGTGTCTATTTTAGAGTATGCTCAATTAGAAAGAAGATTTATTATGCTTAGATTCTAAAAATTTTATGATAATAAATTAATTATTTATGTCTTTTTGATGATGCATCATTGATTTAAATCATTTAGAAAGTCATAAATCAGAAAATTAGAGTTTTATCATTATATGGTATATTTTAATATAGTTATTGAAATCAATCTCATATAATTGATTTAGAATGTAAATTTAGCTAATAATTGTAAATTATATAGATTTTTGATATTGTTTATGCATAATACAAATGCTATAAAGATCTTGATTTTATTGATTAGAAGAACATAACTATATATAATGATAATATATATTTAAGTGTAATATCATAAATTTGAAAAGGATGATTTTGATAATAATTAGAAAACCATTTAAGGAGATGATGAACATAATAGAAATGAAGAATTAAGAGAATTGAAAGAAAGGGCTAATAAATAAATAAATAAGGTTTGGTTACCGAATAATAAAATCAAAAATATCTGATTATTCAAAGGAATAGCTTCTTTCTTCTTTAAAAAATGATTGATTTATCTATGGGATGTAATTTTGGTATGGCTATTACTTTATGTTCAAACTCATCATAATAATGTGAGATATTTTAATCATCAAGCTCATAAGTGTCAAAATTGTCAAAGGATGCTGATGGAGAGAGAGGAACAACACATTAAGCAAAAGTTGATGGTGTATCTATGGTTGATTGTGTTTTAAGTGTAAGAGATGATTTAAAGGGAACAGATTCAGAGCAGCCCATTATGTTAATTAAATATTAATGAAAGAGCGTTATTTAGATTATATTAATTAGGGGATAATTTATTAAATAATATTAAATTAATGAATAATTAATTATATTTTAGAATTTATAAGTGGTAATTCTTTTTAGAATATAAAAATTATTATGTTGTTTAAATAAAATTGCTCATTGTTTAGAAAGTTATTAAGTTAGAAATGTTTAATGATGCCAGGAGCATACAATGGTATGGTTGGTAGACAATGTGCAGATAATGGTTTTGAAGCCTTATACATTTCAGGTGCTGCAGTCACTGCATCAAGTGGAGTCCCAGATATTGGGTATAATTTAGAGATTAGTGTTTAAGCATGGTAACTTTGGATGGATTCTGTAAGACAATCAAAGATGTTGCTCTTGCTTCAGGATTACCAATTTTGGCTGATGCAGACACAGGATTTGGTGAAGGAGAAATGTGTTCTAAAACAGTTTGGGAATATTTCATACATGGAGCATCAGGTCTACATATTGAAGATTAAGTATTTCCAAAACGTTGTGGACATTTAGATGGTAAGGAATTGGTTCCATCTGATGTAATGGAGAAAAAGATATAAATAGCTAAAAATGCAAGTGTTTAATGTAGTGGAGGAGAGTTTGTCATTTGTGGTATTTATTATAATTTAATGTTATTATAGCACGTACTGATGCTAGAGGTACACATGGATTAGATGAATGTATTAAAAGAAGTAAGGCATATATGGATGCAGGTGCTGATATGATATTCCCTGAAGGATTACATACAAAAGAAGAAATGGCTATTGTTGCAAAAGAATTGAAATCTAAGAATCCAAATATTTATTTATTAGCTAATATGACAGAATTTGGAAAGACTCCATATATTTCATTAAAGGAATTTGAATCAATGGGTTATAATTGTGTTATCTATCCTGTTTCAACATTAAGAATTGCTAGTAAGGCTATTGATGAATTTTTGAAATAATTGTAAAAGGATGAATCTTAAGTAAATTCAGTTTAAAAGTAAAGAAAATTAAATAATTTATAAGTATGTAAACACGTAAAGAATTATATTCTACTTTGGGATATACACCTGGTAAGGAATGGTATTTTCCAAATTCAAAGAAACAATGATAATTGTCTAATCAATATTTCATAATAAAAGCAATATAAATATAATCACTACCTTTTTCTGTATATTTAATTAAATACAAATTTAAGCAACATTAATCTATATATTAATTTGAATGTATTCCTCTTTCACATGTAGTTTCTTAGAGTGTATAACTATCTTGTGGATTTTAACTTTCATAATGACTTTTGATCCAATTAAAAGATAAGAAATTATGTTTAACAGTCATTATTCATTATGATATTAGTTCTTAATTACATGATTAAGCATTTCTTATACAATTTATTAATTAATATCTATTAGATTAAGAATTTATTTTTCTTTTGCTGATTGAGATATATAATTTTATGTAGATTCAATTTGTTTTAGTTTTGAATAATATGGACTAGATATTGACATTTTAGGTTCAAGACATCTTTGAAGTTAAATAGTTCTATAATTTCAATCTTCTCTTGGTTCACATAATAATTACCCATAAATATTCAAATTAATTTAATTCAATACAATTTCAATTAAAATCCATAAACGTCATTTAGTAACTATTTGGCAAATGAAACACATTCTTGATAATCTTTATCATTAAATTAACTCATCTTTCTAATCAATTCAATTACAAAATCACTTGTTATAAAATCTTTCAATTTTATTTTCATTTCTGGTACTGTCTAAAAGAAATGTGAACAATCAAATATACAACATAATGTTAATCTAACATATTCCTATTATTTTATTTATAATATATACAATTGTAGGTTTTAATTTTAAACTACACATTTCAGTACAAAATATTATAAACCAATCTACTGTATCTCTTAAATCAAAATTAGGTATATTAGGTTCACAATAAGCATGTAAAATACAAGTATAAAATGAAGTCATTGTTTCTTTTAATCTTTCTGCATAATCTTAATCAACATTCTATTAACTTTTTGTTAAATCCATACTAGCAGCAAATCCTAATTTTAGTATCTCTTTCAAATCACCTAAAAATTAAAATGATTTCTCTTTCAATCCTAATATTATATCTGCAATAGCATTATAAACTTATAATTTTAATTCTCTATTAAAATTAGGATTCTATATTTTAATATATATTTATATATTACTTTAATTAAACCAAAGAAATAATTTAAAATGTTCATATAAGGTACAAATTCTTCTTCCATAGCTCTTGCAATATCTGCTAAACAAAATAATGCTGTCTTAAAACTTTCCATATCATCTGGTTCAGATAATGGTTTATTTAATTCTCCTATTAATTAAGATGAATATTTAGATAATTTCTTTTTAAATGCATAAGCTATTCCTGAGAGTACATAAAAATAATCATTTTTAACTCTAGAATCAACATTTGATAAAGTTTTCATAATTGATTCAAATACAGATTCAGGTGTTGTTGAATCATCTAATCTAACAACACAACCATGCATAGCACTCATTAATCCCATTTCTAAATGATATTTAATTTCAGCAGGTACTTATGTACCACTCTCTAATAATTAAATTTATTAAAAGAATTGAATTAAATAGTCATTACATAATTTTGTATCAGTAACACTATAAATAATATTAAGAATAGCCATAAAAGCAGTATCAATTAAAGCTATTTCTGAATTTTTAATATCTGCTCTAACAGAAGTACTTGCTAAATGTTACAATATTGTAAATTTCTCTCTATTAAATATACTATTAGAAAAGAGTTGCAATTATTCAGTGAGATAAACAAATACCCAAATCAAATGTTAAACAATTGATATTTTATTATTTAATTAATCTAATAATGTTGCTAACATATGATTTGCTTAATCATGTTCATGAAAACATTATGGATAATTTTCAGCTACTCTACTCAATGTTTAAGCTGTTGCTTTCTTTACTTTGTAATGTTGATCAATTAAACAAGTGAATAAATTACTCAAAGCAGATTTAATAAGTATTTCTATTTCTTTTGTTTAAACTTCAGCTAATGCACCAAATGCCATAACACTAGCTTTTCTGTATTCCCATTATTAATGTGTTAAAGTATTTTATATAAAATTTTTGACTAATTCATATGTGTTAACTCCAGCAAAATCAATTATAAATGCTAATCCTTTACATGATGAATCAGGAACTGATAAACCTTAATATTCATCATCAACATCTCCACTATCTAATAAGAGGTTTCTCATAAATGGTAGTAAGAATCCTTCATAATTCTTCTTAAAAAATTACACACAACAATCTACTGCATTACTTTCTGGTGTTTATTAATTTCCATTTTATGTAATTTCTTCTTTCATTTCTGCACAAATAGTATTCCATATTTCAATTGCTGCTATTGAGATTTCACCTTAATTTTCAAATGAAGCCTAAGTTGTTTAAAATAATTCATTTATAAATGCAGGTAAAAATGTAAAGAGTTACTTAACAAAATCAATTAAACATTAAAGTGCTTTATGTTTAACTTCTTAAATGTTACATATTGCATTAGACAATATCAAATTTTTTACATAAGTAAAGATTTCCTAAATTTAAAGTTAGTGCAAATACTTATTATTTAAACAAATTGTTCATAAAATATAAAGAATCCTATAAGGCTTTAATTGCAGTCAATCTAATTTCTAAAGTCTACTCATTTAAATCCATTCCTACACAAATTCCCATTAAGATTACTTTTGAATCTTACTCAGATATACCTGAAGATTGATGAGTTTTCTAGATGATTAGGATTCATACTAATGCTTCGCAAATGTAACCTAATGTCATGATAGCTGACACCTTAATCAAAATATCAGTATGTTTAGAGTTTGTTGTCAATCGAGAAATTAGATCTGGCCATTCTTATCTTGGTAATTCTATGGCACATATTTCACTAATAGTCTAATAAAATATTTAAATAGATTTACATTAGCTGCTGATCTTCTTATTGTATTTTCAGGATCAATCAATTATTCCATGAACTTTAATTTCACATCATTCTTAGTTTATTAAGAACATGCTAACCAAGTTATTTAATTTGATGGAGGATGCTACTATAGAAAAGATTAATATACAATCAATCCCACTAATCTTTTTACTAAAGTACTACAAGCTACTCTAATACGATTCTAAATGCCGCGATTAGAGAATGCTTAAGCACAGTATACCATGAATTCATCTGGACATTCATCTTTGTACTTAAGTAATACTTATTCTGCTGAACTTCGTTGTGTATTACTCTCAAAGAATGCACATTACACTAAATCCAAAAATTATTGTGGCTGCATTTTTATGTTTAATTTTTTAAAATATAATGTATATACATAATTTAGTAGTAGTATATAATTCAAGATTAATTGATTTTCTTAAGCATTCTTCTTTCAAAATGTGCAAAGTTTACACCAAGAATAATACCATTATAATTAGGTTTTGCAGTATGAGGTTTGATTGCTTTAATCAAGGGAGGTAATTTTTAATAATTAGGAGTTAAATGGTCTTTATTAAGAGATATTTCTTAAAGTGGCATTTTAAGAGGAATCTTATTCATTTGAGGTAGTCGTTATCTTGATTCCCCTTCTCTAGTATTTGACCTTTTCTTTTTGTTTGGATTCCTATTGAAGAGTTGTATTTCTTTCCCCCAATTTAATAGAGTGGGCTCCAATTCACTGACCTCTCTTAGCTGCTCTATAGCCTGATGCTCGTTAGGGATTAAATTCATTAATTAAATTAATAAATGGCAATTAACACTCTGGACACATAATCTACAATATTTGTGCCCCTTTTTATAATTGCCACATTAAAGTAATGGCATTATTCAATATAAGATAGCTTACATGCATCTTGTATCTGCACGCTTCTTTACAATCACTATTATATATATATATATATATTAAATAATATTTAATGTCTCAATTGTCTAGATAGATGAAGAAGATCGGTAATTACTAGCTAGGGGATTTGCTAGGTAGAGGTTCGATTGGTACTGTGTACAAAGGATTGAATTTGGAATTAGTAATAAACACACAATAATAGAGGGAACACTTGTGGCAATTAAGCAAGTGTCAAGAGCCACACTGAAAGAAGATCAGTATAAAGCATTACAACAAGAAATTTATCTATTGAAGAAGTTGAAACATGAAAATATAGTGAAATACATAGATTGTATAGAGACTGATCAATTTTTGAATATCATTCTTGAATATATTGAAAGTGGAAGTTTGGCAAGTATTCTAAAGAAATTTGGATCATTTCCAGAGTCTTTGGTTGCAATTTATGTTAAATAAGTATTAAAAGGATTAGAGTATTTACATTAATAAGGAATTGTCCATAGAGATATAAAGGGTGCCAATATTTTGACTACTAAAGATGGGTAATTTTAATCATAAGATAATAAAGTACTGTTAAATTGGCGGATTTTGGAGTGGCTACAACTTTATCTGAAGATACGACTTAAAGTAATAACATAGTTGGTACTCCATATTGGATGGCACCTGAAGTTATAGAAATGTCTGGACATTTATCTACTTCCTGTGATATATGGTCACTTGGATGTACAGTCATAGAATTATTAACAGGAAATCCACCATATTTTGATAGATTATAATATGCAGCAATGTTTTAAATTGTTCAAAGAGATTGTCCTCCATTACCAGAAGGAATCTCAAATGAATGTAGAGATTTTCTAATACAATGTTTTTAAAAAGATCCTACTTTAAGAGATGATGCAACAACTATGCTTAAACATCCATGGATTACTAAAAGTTGGCATATAGTATAAGGACCTAATTTACCTGAAGAAGTAACAAATACTATACGAAATCACATAGTAGATTAATCTAATTTTGGAACATTTATTACTGATTCATTTATTGAGTAAGTACCTTAATTAGTTCAATGTTAATCACCTAGAAAAATAGATAAAAGTAGTGCTGTTAGAGATTCTTAATTAGATTCTCTCAGATAATTAAAATTAAGAACTAGTCATTAAATTAAATAAAATGGATTTTGGGGTTAAAATGAAGATGGTAAAAGTATGAGAGAAATTAATGAACTTATAACTTAATTAACAGAATAAAGTGATAATTCTTAAATTATCAAAATTTTAGAATAATTAAAAGACACTATTCCAAATGATAAATGTAAAGAATATTTTATTCATACTGGTTTAACTTCATTATTAGAGATTATAGAAAAATATATGCCATTATATTGTGAAAATAATTCATAAGATTAATAATAATCCTTATAAATTTTAAAATTGATATTTGAATTAATAAATATTGTAGTAGATTAAAATCCTTAATTATTAGAATTATCATGTTATTTGGGAGCAGCAACATTTTATCAATAAATAACTTCTTCTGAATTTCATAAAGAATTAAGAGTTGAAGCTGCCTATTTCTTAGGATAATTAACTTATTTTAAAGAAGGATACTTACTCTCAATAGGAGGATTAGATAATCTATTAGAATTAATTGACACATCAGATATCTCTGATAATATTGATTTAATTGGTTTAGCATTAGATACCATAATATTACTTTATGATCTTAATACTATAAGTTAAAGAAATCTAAGTAGACTTCTAACAAGCAAATTCATCACATATCGATTAGTAATTATAGCTGAATAAATTTAAAATATAGATGTTAATTTAATGATTAAATCATTGAATATATTAGTTATTTTAGCAAAATGTGATGATAAAATAGTTAAGTAATCACTTTGTGAAAAAGAAGTTATCACTAGATTAGCTACTTTTCTTAATTAAAATTAAGAATAAGCACTTTTAAAAACCATAAAAATATTTAGATATCTTTCTACTGAACCTAATCTTTAACCACATTTAGATGGATTTGCTATTATACCAAGAGCTTTAACTCTTTTAAAAAAAGATTTACCAAGTTAAGGACCAATGATTGCAGATATATTAAGAATAATATTTTATCTTACAAAACTTAATCATGATAAATAAGAAGAATTATGTCTTTATGAAGGTGTTCCATTATTGCTTGAATTATTTAAATTACCAAGTGAATAAGAAAATTAAATCTCAATGAAAAAGGCAGCTATTAGTATATTATGTTCATTAGCTACTTCTTCTGAAAGATGTAAATAAAAATTACAAGAAAATGGAGGTATTAGCATTTATGTTGGATTATTAACAACAAATCTAAATATTACAAAATTACTTGATACAATTGTTAAATTAATTGAACTTGATTAAAGTCAACGTATTCCTCTTAGTAAAAATATTGATATTCTTGTTGCATATTTTAAAAATAATACTGTTCCTATGTACCCAACATTAGTTAAAGTACTACCAAAAGAATTTGGAATTAGTCTATTATTTAGGAAATAATTATTGGAATTGTTGATTTAGAAAGATTAAAGTTAATTGAACTTAAAACATCTGCTTTAAATATTATATTATCTATTAGAGTCTGATTCAATAAAAATAAAAGACATGTTTAAGAATTCTATTCTATAGCAATTGATAGAACAAGAAGAACATGGTTTGGCTGTTTAAGGAATTGTAAAGTAAATTAAGGAATTGATATTATTAAAATAATGATCATAGATCGTGTATATGAGCTTATCTTTTTTCTTTGCCCTTTAATTTAGGTTACATTTCTTCTTCATCTTTCTTATATTCTAATTGTTTTTAGACTTATTTTAATTTCTTTTCCTATTATTACAACTTCTTGGCATTAATTTTCTTTTATTCTTCATCTGACCAATCTTCATCTTTATGTTATTATTCCTGTCTTTTTTATTTTTATTAATCTCTTTATAATGTCTCTACTTTATTGTTTCTTTTATTATTATTGTTCTTATTACGAGATTTCACATTGCGATTGTCACCATCTGCCAAGAAGTCGTTGTCTTCTAAATCCATTTAAATTTATTTATTTAGGTTTGTACAAATAATCACTATGTTAAATATTCTCTAATAAATTTTAGGTTTATATAAAAAATCATAATTCATTCATGATATTCTAATATTTTCAATAATATATATATATACATTATTTCCACTTCAAATAATTACTTATATGTTCATTAAATTTAGATGTATATTTATATAATAATCAATTATAGTAATTAGAGAACATAATATTGATATTGATTATTGACTTAAAATACAAGAAGAATTTGAATCAGAAATATACTCATACAATTATTATATAAGAATGTGATTAATATTAAATTTATATATATATATAAAATTTTGAAGTAGATGTAAAAGAAGAGGGAGAAGTTTAGGATTGAAACTCGAAGAAACGATCTTGAACGATGTTTCAAATAAAAAAGAGAAATCTAAGATTAAGGTGCAATAATTACTATAGGAGAATACTGCTATAATTCTGATAATTTATTGGGGAAGGGTTCTTATTGTTAAGTTTATGCAGGATGGAAAGTATGATAGTATATTTAATGATGTAGTGTTAGAATAGGAATAAGAAGGTGGCAATTAGAGTAATGATTGGAAATGAAAGAGTAAGCTCGGAAATAGAATTGTAGAAAAGTTTAAAATCAAAGAATATAGCTAAGATTTATGATGATGTAAAGATTGAAGATAAACATTATATAATAATGGAATTATGCGATGGTAAATAACTGTCTATAAAATGAGAGTCTCTAAGCAAACGGTATTAAGAATTTAGTAGAAATGAAGCTATTTAATATTTTTAGTAAATACTTAATGGTTTAGAAGAATTATAGAAACACAAAATTATCCACAGAGATTTAAAATTAGACAATATATTATTAAAAAAGAAATAGGTAATTATAATATAAATGTTGATAGATAAAAATAATTGATTTTGGATTTGCTAAGAATATTACAGACAATGGATTAGGAACTGAATCAGTTAAATGTGGAACTCCTGAAACAATGGCACCAGAAGTACACAAAAGTATTAAAAGAACAATCTATAGTGATAAATAAGATGTTTGGGCTTTAGGAATTATATTGCACTAATTATTTTATAAAATCCATCCTTTTGAATCATTAGAGTGTCTTTTGTAAGTCTATTCAATATAAATAAAGGGAGAATAAGAGAAGAGATACAAGAGAAGAAGAAGATGAAGTAGTTAATGATTTCATCAATAAATGTTTAACAGAAGAAGATAAAAGAATGAGTATAAAAGAAGCCTTGTAACATAGGATTCGTAAATATCAAATTGCTATTGATTCTGATGATTAGAAAACATTGTTCGGTTAGATAAAAGATTGTGTTTAAAGTAAATTGGAAAGTCTGACTCACTACTGGTATGAAACAGTAAGGGGTTATTTAATTAAATGAATGAAAACATATATATATATATATATATAATTCAATTGACTATTGAAGACTTTTAAGGAGTAACAGTTTTATTCCGTGTAAGTTACTCTTATAATGCATCTTTGACATCGGATTATAATTTGATTTATTTTCTAATTGTTTTAGTCTAACGATATTCATCTAAAATGTGATGTGCTTTGATTCGCTACTCTTTTTCTCGTTATTCCTTATTGAATGTAGATTCCATCATCATAGTTTTCTATTAACCAACTTTCTCAGATGTAATTACACATCCCATATTTATAAATTATAATATAATATCAAATTATTGGTACTATTGTATTCATAATCTTTTGTACTATTTACATTCTGATTGGCTATTCCTTATTGCAATATTAAACAGTAACATAATGTAAGTAACTTACATACATTAGATTCATTAGACAACAAAGAATTTCTATAAGTAATCTCAATGTTCCTACTTATTCCACTATAACTTTTCCTTATAATCTACATTCTTAATAAGTTTGAGTTTGAAAAAAAAAAATACTATTAATCCCAAGATTAATAAGGATAAATATAACAATTATGCTATTCTCTACATATGCAAACTCATCTTGAATGTCTTAGAACATAGAGTTATTGAAGGCATTATCATTAACATCAATGAAAGGAGTGCCAATATGCTGATTGTTGTCTAACACATGTAAGTCATCGACACACTAACATTAACTAATTTCATGCTCACATCAAGTAACGTGCACCACAAATCATGCTAATCAACATTGAAAATATTATCAATGCAAATTCTATAACTTTAAACTCTGTCATTTATTCATCCTTAAATTATAAAGCTATTGAATTCACATACAGTATAGGTATGTCTTATAAATTCACACATTCAGGTTCATTTTCAATTACTATCTGATAACTTGAATACATTAATTTATTATTATTAAATAATAAAATTAGATCAAACCAATACTAAGAAATAACATACATATAAACAAAAAAACATGTTAATTATACATTTATATTATATTCATTAAAAGAATTTTTACCATTCTAATTGATAATAATTTATATATTACATCTAAGTTATTCTCCATTAAAATTTGGTATTACTACTTTATATTCTACATATAAATCTCCATGTTAAGATGAAAATTCATGTTATGGCATTCCTTCTCCTTTTATAATTTAAACTTCTCCTGGTTTTGTAATACCATCTTTATCAATTCTTACAAAATGATTATCAAGATGTTTAATCTTCTTCTTAAAACCAAGTAAAGCTTCTTTCAAAGTTATTTCGACTTTGCATTTTAAATCATTTCCTTATCTTTAAAAGAATGTATGAGGTATTTATTCAATTTAAAATATTAGATCAGAAGTACCAGAATCATTACGTTCATCAGCCATATTCTCATATTTCTATAATATATATATATCTAATTATATTACTATAGTTTATTTGTCTTATATCCCTTTTTCTATATATAAACTAATATTATCAGCTCCAGGAATAATCTAATAAAATATAATATTCTATTACCTTATCACCTTTACAAAGATGACATTTTTTTTTGATTATCTTACCTGTTCCATAACATCTTTCACACGTGGCTTAGAATGTTTAAAAAACTTAAATTCTCAATAAATAACATTACATCCAAAACCAACTTATTATCTTTTCTAAACACTACCAACACCTTTACAAGTTGGACATGTTTCTACTAAATCTGGATCATCAGCTCCTGATCCTCTACAATGTGGACATAATATTTATTTAGTCAAATAAATAGGTATCTCTTTGCCATTATAAATATCCTCTAAAGTTACTCTAACCTTCACCTTCAATTCTGGACCCTTACGTTCTCCTTATTATTCTCTTCCAAAAAATGATCCGAAAATATCAAATGGATCATGATGCTACATTCCCTGATTATTTAGACCATCAACTCCTCCTTTATCATATTTTTTTCTTTATTCAGGGTCTGATAATACCTCATATGCTAAATTTATATGATTTTATATACCCACGTTGATTTTCGAGAATTTTTCATTTGCATCTGGATCACCTTAATTTCTATCTGGATGGTATTGTTGTGATAGTTTACGATAGGCCTTTTTGATGTCTTATACTGAAGCATTTGGAGAGACTCCCAAAATATCGTAATATTCTCTATGTACTGCACAATATATAGATATTAGAAGTGTAAATAATGTGAGTTATAGCTTCATTATTTTTATTAATCAAAGACAAAGATCTTCTCATTATTATTTGCTTGATATTCATAGCCAACAAACTGTTGCTGAACATTTGGATCTCTAAGCAATTGTATATTTTAATTGATTAATTCAGCATTCTCTTCATCCTCAATCACTATTTGACGTTAATCAAAATTATCATCACTTGGATTTGGAATGAATGGTGCAGTAAATTCTCTTTTTTACAATTTTGACCATTAGAAATTCTTAAACCATGGATGCAATTTAATTTCATGTCCTCCATTATAACCAAGTCGACTTGTTGGTTTTCTTTGTAATAATCGATTAACAAAATCAACAGCTTCACTACTCCAATTAGGAGGTACTTCACTTGATCTAATTTATACTTATCTGGCTAATATTTAATCACGAATCTCTTATCTAGATCGACCAACATATGGTCTCTATTTTTTAATAAATATTAATTCATACTCTCCCTAACATAAATTCATAAGCAATAACACCCAAAGCATAATAATCAACTGCAAAAGTGTGATTCTATCTACACATTACCTCAGGAGCTATTTACTTATTAAATAATATACAGCTTACCCATATATCCAGGAGTACCACTAGTATCGCTAGAATTTTCAGGCTTCATAACACGAGCAATACCTAAATCAGTAATGTGTACAAAACCCTTTTCATCAAGTACCAGATTTTCTGGTTTGATGTCTCTATGTATTATGTTGTTATTATGTAAGTACTCTAAACCAATAAAAATAGAGGCCACAAAAAACTCTTATTATCATCGAATACTATTACTAGTCTGTTCCTCATTAAATCGTCTCATTCTTCCAATATGAAATCGTAAATCACCTCCACACATGTAGTCCATCACCAAGTATAAATTCTCTCGATCTTGAAATGCATAATTCATATTGATCAAGAATGTGTGCTTTAGTTGACTTAGTAGCATACGTTCATTCATAACTGAATGCACACTCTTCTTTGTTATCACTAATGCTTTAGACATCTCTTTCATAGCATATGGTTAACCAACCCTTTTCACCTTCCATACTTTCCCAAATCCTCCAATTCCTATTACATATTCAAATGTAAATGCAGCCTTCCCAATCTATTTAGTATCTGAAACCTTTGGACTTACAACTTCAGGCTCTTTGTTCTCTTTCCTAACTTATGCTGAGTCATTTCGAATATGAATTGGCCCTGTTGGTGTCTTTGCTGACATTGCAATTGCACGAGCTTTGGCTATTAGCTATGTCATTGAGTCTTTTTGTCCCTCTGATGGTTACTTTACTTTCTATTATTTCATCAGTGTAGCCAATTTAGATAAATCTATTGATGCATTCTTGCTATGGTATAAACCTTTAGGTAAACTCACTTAAGTAGGAGATACAGCTGGACTCTGAATTGCATATTAGGAAGGACTCTTTTATTTCAGTAATAGAGTATTGATGAGTTTATTGTTTGGACTGCTAGCCTAACTCATCTTAGGAGGTTGCTTCATTATATTTAATTAATAAACAGCTTATATTTATATACTATAGTAACTTCACATCTGATTGAATAAATATAATTAAACGTTCATTCCTATATAGTATTCTAAATACAAATAAGTTGATGTGATCATAACTTATTTATATAATTAACTTTTAATGTAGAGGATTTAAAATTTAAAAAACTAATAAAATGAAGGGTTATTCAATATTGAATTAAAATAAAATCATATAATAGTTAAATTTAATTCTATTTCTTTATTCATTTAATGATTTTTAACTAAATGAATAAATACTAAATTGATTATAATAGATATAATTAAATTGCAATTAAGTATATAGATATTTATTATAATAATTCATAATAATAATAGAAATATATAAATTGATATTAAATTATCATTATTCATAATCTTCTAAATTCCAAAATTTATGGAATAAACAATATATTTTTCTTATAAATAATTACAAGGGTCGATCAGGTTTTTGTATATTTTTTAATTAATCAAGATTTTCTTATTGAATATTTAGTACTTTTATTCTTTTTTAATAAACTCTCTTTAAATATTCATCTTAATGTTAATACTTACAAAATCTATTTTTAAATTAATCTATCTCATTCTATACCAATGATAATTTTTCATCAAATGAGATTTCAAATAATTAATTCCATTATTTAATTTCTTTATAATCTAGATTAGATGATGATTTAAATGATTCAAAAAATTATTCTTAAAATTGTTTTAATGATTTATCAGATCTATTGAATATTTTAACTAATTAGTTTATAAACATTTATGTTTCTTGATTCAACTCATTACAAACTTTTAAGATACTATTCAAAAACTTATTTCCTTAAATATATTCATTTTAATCCATATAATTATTATTTAATGATGTATTAACACATTCAATCAATTTTCCATTTAATAATTGATATTTTCTTGGATTTTCATCTTGATTTCTCAAAAGAAATACTTTATCCTCCTTAATATCAAGTTATTTTCTTAAACTATTTTATTTCTTTTCGATTTCCTTTCTATTTTTTAGACTTTTTTTTTTCTAATTTATTTTATCCTAAATATCTAACTATTTATCTGATTTCTCATCATCTTTTTTCTGTGGTCCTGTTATTGTAAGTATTTTATAATTAGCCATTTCAGTGATCAATTATAGTAATTCCAAAGAAAACTTATTTGTAGCAATATATCCTTCATCTTCATATTCAATCTCATCAAAATTATCAGATTTTGATGGTCTCCCACATTTCTTCTTACTTTTAGGCATAATCAAGGGAAATATAAGATAACAAAAATAAATTATTTATTCCTCTTTTCCTCTGAAACAAATAAATTTATTAAAAAATTTATTCTATTGATTAATATTCAATTAAAAATCAATTCAACAATGAATGAAAACATCTTAGGTTAATCACAATAAACTATAATACCTTGATTAAGTATATACATCTGAGAATTCGAAAAGAAATGAATTCCATTATAATGAATATTGTAACTCAATTAATATCATATATAATCAAATCAAATAATACTAATAATAATAATAAAAAGATTGTTCAATATACATATATAATAATAATTTAAAAATGTCAACTTTCTAAGAAAGATTTAAAGGTAAAACAACAGTAATGAGTAGGAATGGCCTAGAATCAGTAATTAATTCTTGTTAATAACCAATTAAAAAAGAATTTGAATGTATGATATATGAAATATTTCAGATTAAAATAGATGTCCTCATATTTAATAACCTATACAATAACAAATTAATTTTCAACCTGTACTTACACAAATTTAATATAATAATTAATAGCATCATTAAAACTTATATCAACATAATCCATACATACCAGAATAATAATAATAGATTCAAGATTCTCTATAATATTTCAATCAATAGTAATAAATTCAACCTTCTTTTGATTATTCAGTAAGACAAACAGTTAATGAACCTTAAAAAAAAATGGAACAAAGATCCTAATCTGCAAAATAATAATAATAATCAGTAGATGATTTGTAACGGTACAAACCATACACCATAAAGGATTATGAGATAATGAAAAAGACTGCTAATACTAAATTAGGAGGTTTGGGACCTAATATTAGTGGAGAAGAATGGGCAAAAGAAAGAGAAAAGCAACTTAAAAGATAAGAATTTGCAGAATAAGTCAGACAATTTAATTCAACTAATATTATAACTATAAAAAATAAAGAGATTAAACAACCTGAAATAAATGCTAGGTATTATTACAAATATATCAAGACAAAAGGCAATAGAATTTGCCAGAAATATACCAAAACCTGTTGTGAAAAAGAAGGATGATAATACTACTATGAAGATTATGCATAATAAAATAATAAATAATAATTAGAATATTTTTAATGATGAAATTGAAAGACTTGAAAGAGAACATATAAAGTATTTAAATTAATTGGATAAGATGAAATGATATTTGTTTATTAATATAATTATATGTTCTCTATAATAATAATAAATTTAGAATATTATAAATTTAAAAAATAATATTAAAATATATTACACATTTATCTTATGTCAATAAGTATTATTAAAATTAAAGAAATAAAATGGCTATTTTTATTTATATATTCCTGTCAAATGATGATTCTTTGATTATTAAATTATTTATTTTAAAATACAACAAACAGGTTTATTGTATCTAGAGAAAAAGCATGGTTATTCACATTTTTGAGAATTCAATATAGTACTATAAGCAAATGACAAAGCATTCTTAAATTAAAATATTAATAATAATTACTTTAATATTCTTGATTTTAAAAGTACTACTAGCAATGTTATTGCCTTTATTATGTAAATCCAATATAACTAATTCTTATTATCCTTGATCACTAAAATTAGATGAATCTTTACAATTAAGGAAATTGTTATTAGTAAATATTAGGTTCATCAACTTACATATTCTCTGTTTGGGATGGAACAATATTTATAATTTTATTAAAATAATCGATATCTTAACTATAAAGATCGAAAAAGTCTAAAAAGGTTTTACCAATTTCTTCATTTTCAATATCACGTACACGTTTAATTTGTAATAAAGCTAAAATCATAGTCAGAATGCAATAGCTATTCAAACCACCCTTATTACATATTAAAGATATACTTGATAGGAATTTAATAGATTAATAGATTTAAAGTAAAACTTTAAAATTAATGCTAGACTTTTAAATTATTTAAATTCTTTCTAAAATTCAATCATTGAATTAGCAGTCTTTCTACCAGAATGATCATTTTTACTAATAGTAATATCAATAAGTTTATTTTAAAATTCTTATGAACATTACATTTTCAAAACAGGTTTTCTAGCATTATCAATAACTTTGACATCCTTAATAAAGCCTTGTATCTAAAACTATATACCATAATACTTTAAATTATTCAGCAATTTTATATAATGAAATCTTTTCTTATTCATTTGTTTCAATTACTATATCAATATCAGAATCTAATAAATTTAAACCAGTTTAACAAGAACCATATAAAAATGCACGAGATTTAGAACATACAGATTGAACAGTCTATTATATTATAATCTATTATACTTCATCAACCATTTAAACTATTTTATCAATAATTGGTCTTTATTCTTCCAATAATTTATTTAATTCTTAAGAGAATGTATTAATTTCAAATGATAATTATCTTATTATATATATATTATAATATACTTTACAATGTCATCTAAACTAGTTCTATGATGAGGTAGTGTAATAAGTGATTCAGAAATCAATTAATCATAAAATGGTTGATTAATATAATTATTTTCTGGAATTTATGATTCTTAATCTTTTTTTTCTTTATTTTCAGTTTAAATTGCTTAATCATTTAATACTTTTATTGGTTTCTAAAATATTTCATTAAAATCTTCATATTTATTAGATGACTTCTATGAAATTTAATTATTTTCATTGAAATCTTCTTATTTTCTTTTTCTATTTGGAGATTTTTGAAATTAAATTTCTTCTTCTATAAGTTAATTTCTTGTTTCTTAATTACAAGCAACATCTAATGGTGTTTAATGTAATTAATTTTTTTTTTTATATAGATTTTCCTTTTGACATATACTTTTTATAATTTATAAATTGCCCAATCTAGAAGCTATATGTAATGCTGTATCTCCATTTTCATCTTATCCAGAAGCACCATATTATTCAATAATCTTTTATGCAGTTTTAAAATTGCCTTTACGCATAGATTTGATTAAATGTTAAGGTTTTTCAAGTTATGTTACTTAAAGCAATGTTTCTACAATATCCCAATTATCTTATTCTGATTATATTGCAATATCAAGTGCTAATTTAAATTACTTTTTATCAAACTTTTCTTTATATTTAATGATCTCATTCAATATACTAATTTTGCCGCTTTTTGCTGCTTAGATCAAAGCAGTATTTCCTTAATTATCCTTATAATTGAAATCAATTTATTATCTTGATATTTTTAGTAAAGATTTACTTTAGAATTTATTAAATGCATTATAAATGTTCTTCACTATCTCTTGTATATTAGATGCATTCAACTAAGGCTTATGAAAAATTCATTTATGCTGTTTAATTTACACGTATATAATCTTCCAATTAAACATATTCACCTAAATTGTAAATGAAGTTGTACCTTGATTAGTATATTCGACTATTTTTTATTAGTGAATAGATTATTATTACATATTGTGATTTTTAATAATTTAAATATTACATTAACAAAAATTATCATAATCAATAATTTATAGATATAAATATTAACTATTAATAATCAAGTAAAAAAATACAAAAACTATTTATTAGAATCAAATTTGTTAAGTTGATTCTTATAAAATAAGAGTTCTTTGACTATTTAACAATATGTGTATTAATTCAAATAGTCTCATATTCCCATCAAGTTTTTATGTTTTAACTTTGCCCACCAAAATAGATAAATAAGGTAGAACAAAATTCTAATGAGATTAATTTATTCTATCACAGTAGGCTTATAATATTAAATTAGATAAGTCTCTGACCATAAGAAAACAAGATAGTTTACTTATATCAAATTTAAATTCGTATTCATTTTGATTTCGCAATAATACAATTATGTCAATCAAATAAATCTTTTACTTTATTATATTACAATGATATACCAATTATTATTTCTATAAGGATTTCCATACTTTTATCTATAATTGATCCATTTCAATGTAAGATGAAGGACTAAAATATTTTGGAATTAACATTTTACTTAATATAATTAAGATTACTGATTGCAAGTGTTTCTTATTTACTTATTGAGTTCTTCTCTTATAGAGTATTATTAATATCATCTTTTGTAAAAGCTCTCCGAAATGCCATAATGTCAAAACTCTTGCAAAATTAATTAGACTCATAACTAGTAGTTCTTCCCAATGTGAAATTAGACTATTAAGTATGAGTGTGAAGTATTTGAACTTTTCTTAATATAGAATAATCATTTATTGATGGCACTTATTTCATTTATAATTTATAATTATAATTTAAATATCTATATGATTATATATTTGTTGGATACATGAATATAAAAGAAAATTAGAAAATGAATTGTTAAAATCTTTATGATTATTCAAAATAATATTTATAAAAATAATAAAAGAAAATGTCTAATATAAAAATTGTGTATCAAAGAAAAGTTCATAAATTACCTCCAAAGATTAAAAGTCATTAGGAAATCATAGACACTATAAAGTCCATTTACCCTCAAATCAAAGAAGTCCATTTATATACTATTATCAATCCTAGTAGAAATTTAAAATATTTCTTAGCTGAACCAGATGGTATTGAGGAAATCAATTGTGATTTAAATTTAACATTACTTAAAATGTTATATAAATAAATGGGATGGCCAACTATCAAATTACTTGTTGTAGAGAATTAAAATGATGAAAATCAATTAAGAAATTCCATGGATTTATTAAATCAAAGTTAAATTATGTTAGATAAATCAAATTATCAAGATTAATCCAATATTAATAAGTAAATAATTGATCTAAATATTAGAGTACAATAAAAATAAGTAATTGATTATAGAAAAGATGAAAAATTAAAATAAATTATCATTTAAACTATTGATGAACGATTAATGTACTATAATCTTTTGAATCCAAAAAAATAAGACACAGAGATGATAGAAAAGGTTAAACAATTATCATAAATTTTTACCTAATATTCTTATGATTGGTTATTTGAATTTGTTAAACAATAAGGTGCTAATTAATCATATGAACA